GGGGGGGGGGGGGGGGCCTCCCTCCCTGGTACATATATATACTTAGGTCAAGAATCAATTTGGAAGAAATACAAGATGATGTGGGGAAGGCGGAAAAGGAGGTGTGGAGGCAGTCGGGGTTAGAGGGCAACCTGCTCAACATTCTGTAGTTGTTGTAGATGCGCAGTCAAAACTATTTATCTTGAAAATCTCAATGATCGATCAGATCGTCGACTAGAGGAAAAATACAAGAATTTTACAGGTAGTCGGAGATCTTAGTTGTACGCAATATTGATGGACCATCAGACCGAACGGAGCGATGACAGAGTTGTAAGCTCCTGATCCTTGGTGTGTACTAGTATCGTTCTTTTCCGTGATCGAAATTAGACATCACTCACCCTCGTTGCCTAGCTATAATCTCGTTGTTCTCGTTCTCGTTCACGATCTAGAAGTTTAGCTAATACAGTTGTTCATCCTCATGTTGTTCTCTATATCAGATCCTGGTCTACTACTTCTGCTCCGTAGCGACACTACTCATATATGCTTCCCTGATATTATTGCCTTGATAAACACTACAGAAGTCTTCGTCACCGATGTGGATCCCTGATATTTCTGGTTGTGCTATGACCGTGTTAATATGATTGGTTTCGTCATGCTCGTCATGTCTTTCGAATACTCAAAGTCCGGAGAATCTTGTCCAACAACTACAAGGGCACAACTATGGGTGTATTCGAAGAACACGATGAAGAAAGGTAACGACCTCCATTATAACATTATGGCAGCTCCTCCTTCATACAGGTGCACACTAGTACGACACTACTGGAGCCCTGCTTTCTAGAGCACGAAGTATAGAAGAAACAGCGCAGCAAGTCACATGGTTATTGTCTTACTAGATATGTGGGTGACGATGAATAGAGTTCTGCTTGTATGTCGGGCACTTGTAGTTTGGGTACGACGAACAATTTTGCAGCACCCTGCTCCTGATGTGACAGCCTGACAACTCTGGGGTGCGTCTTCTAGTAGTACAGCGTCTCAACATGTACATAACCTTAAATTTGCTGTACCACTTTTACTTACTCATCATGCTATGAAGGTTTGGATCCTCGTATCGACGTCATCATCCAGCATTCTTGTGTCAAAATATAAGTAGTAACAAGAAAGTTTTAACTTTTATCAACAACATGCTAACGAAAGATCATAATCATGATCTTTCTTGTCCTACTTTCTCGACGGTACTAGTCGCATACGTTAGGACTCATATCAAATAATTGACCACAGCATAACGACTGAATCTTCCTGTTTGTGGAAGGTGAAAGAAATGCCTTTTATGCCATTTGGGCAGACCGTCTACGAGACATCAGAGGCAGCGGTGGCAAGAAGGCACTAGACGAGGGGTGAATAAATTAAGTAGAATGAATCTAGGGTGGAACTGGAGGTTGCTCTTGCATTTTCTTTTAGTACTTTTTCATCCATAATTTAATATTTTTAGACATCATCTTGCACGTCTTCTTGCAGTACAGAAGACACATACAACAACGAAATTATATGATCAAGGATGTCGCTTTCATCGACATTATTCTTACTTTGTCGTCCACCATAAAAAGCCGCTAGAAGATGTTGCGAAGCAGCTCCAACGCCTTGTAGCTGCATCGAAGGCACCACTGAAGGGACATGGTCGACTGCTGCCCAACAAGCAGGAGGGAAAAAAAGCAAGAGACCACGAGAAAAAAAACATTTTCCTTCTTAGTTTAGTTTTCTATTCTGTGGACAGACTTTAGCAACATCAAATTCGATAAAAAAGCGATCTAGACAGGGAGTCACAGGAGTCTGACATATAGAGGGAGTCACATTGACATTGTCGAGATGCATCAGATTAAGATGGATTCATCGTGTTGTAACCGTTTTCTTGAAAGCCTCGTGCTAAACCACATCAATCATCATCAAGCAAGTAGCAGAAGTTTCTTTGTTGGATTGTAGTAAATACTAGTACAATAAATTTTACAACCGAATCAAAAATTTTACAAACGAATCAAATGAATACAAGCGAAACTACACGGCTTTTCGCTCGATTCGTTGAGACCGAAAGCACAAGGAAACACTTGAGATGCGGTAGAGAACAAGCAGACGAAGTTGGAAAACATCACTGCAGTCGACTGCACTCCGAGAGCCCCCTGTGTGATAATCACCGGCAGGACACAGATCACAAAACAAGTAATATTATGTACAACATTGGCACGACGAAGATCACAAAACAAGAAATATGTGCATTGTCATCGTTTTTGATTGTGATTAGTCGTATGATAGTGCGGCTGAGTAGACGTTGGTGCTCTACAAATATGAGTATTTATAGTATTAGCAATCGATCTTATTTCCTTAAGAGCCTTCCTTAAGAGGCCTTCCTTAACGAAATGGAAACCCTTAAGGAGTTTCTATTTATAGCTTTTGCTTAAGAGACAAAAGTGCTCCTAAGGGAGCTCCCTTAGGGCCTAGCTCTAGCTGTTATAGAATTGGGCTAATAATAAGCCCTCCCTTAAGGTGGAGCTCCCTTAAGAGCCATGGCCAGCTAGCTAGTTGCTTGCCCCTAGCTAGAGAGCTTGCTGGCTTGCCCCTTGCCCGAAGCTAGCTTGCTAGGTTAGCCGTAGCTAGCCTGCTAGGAAGTTAGCCATAGTTAGCTAGCCTGCTAGCTGCTTAGGCATGGCTAGCTAGCAAGCTAGCTGTTTGGCCATAGCTAGGCTGCTAGCGTAGCTTGTTAGCCATAGCTAGCTTCCCTTAGAGGTCTGCACTCCATGCTTGCACGCCAAGCTACTCCATGGCCATGCATCACGGTTGCTATGAAAGTAAACTGCTCGGGTATATCATATATGCTCCAAGGTGCAAGGCAGCGGCCTCCCCTAGCGTAGGGGGGGGACGTGGATCCCCAGGCACCTTTTGCAGGCGTCTGCCGGGGGTGGTAGACTTCGAAAGGGGTCCAAGGGGCCGCCTCCGCTCCCTTCCAGCGGCCTGCGTGTGCCCTACAAGCTGCCGACGTCACGTGCTTCACCGCCGCGGCAATGCGCCGGGTCGGTGTGGAAGGCCTCCGAAGGCGGCAAAAGGCGCAAGGCTGGACCTCCTGAGCCGTGTGGCCTGTACCCTCCAGGCCCTTGCCCATCAGCCTGCCTGCTTTTGAGACCGTGGCCGCCTTCGGCGGCCTTCGTTCTACCCCGGAGACCTCCGCCCCACGTGGGTCAGCAGGGGCCAGGAGGTCGCTGGGGAACATGCAGAGAGGCGCAAGGCGACGCCCGCGACAAGTTTTGACACCTATCACCCCAAGAACCCGCGACAAGCAGCGCGGAAAAGAGCGCGCAAGCGCCACCACAGGGCCATCCACAGGGGGGGGTCGTGCGTCCCTGTGTCATATATGTTACAGGGCTCAAAGCTGAAGGCCCCCCCCGATCTAACTTTTTGAGGGGGGGGCCTCCCAGCCCCGGCCCCTCTTTTCGAGGGGCTGCCGGGCGGGAAGGCCTCGAAGCGCCCACCTCTGACCCCTTCCCGCTTCTTACCTGTACCCTAGCGCGCCACCAAACCAGAGGACGCTGAAGCTGGCAAAGGAGGCAAGGCAAGACCCCGCTGGCTTGCTGCATGTACCCTACAGCCCTGGCAAAGGTGGCAAAAGCTGGGCCCTCTTGTCGTGTTGCAGGTACCCCGCAGAGCTGGCAGAGGAGGCAAGGCGGGGCCCACCCCCTTGGCGTGCTGCATGTACCCGACAAGCCTGGCAAAGGTGGCAAAGCTGGACCCCTCTGGCGTGTTGCATGTACCCGACAACCTGGCAAAGGCGGCAAGGCTGGACGCATGTGCCCAACCCTAAAGACCTGGCAAAGGTGGCAAGGGTGGACCCCTCTGGCGTGTTGCATGTGCCCAACCCTGCAGACCGGGCAAAGGTGGCAAGGCTGGACCCCTCTGGCGTGGTCCACCACAGATCCAGCCACAGGGAGGGGCCTCCCTCCCTGGTACATATATAAAAAATGACCAAGACCGTTGATCCTGGTAATATCGCATGTATATTTTTCAAGTAACGGCGAGTGCATGCGTAGACATAATATAACTCTCCCCAAGACCTCCTTCTTTTTTCAAAAATTACGCTTTTCGATGGTGTGCTAAGGTCTCACTACTAACGGGGTTTAACTACGATGGATAGAAATTTAAACAAATACATTAGCTACTTGTTTCAGTCATTTTTTTACATCTATTCCAAACTTTCCGTCCTTGCGTATTAAAAGAGTTTCTACAACTACTACAGAGGATCATTGCTGTTGTACCCAGCGCATTGTGCTCCATGGTTTGCTTTCATCTAAGTATAACGATAGTGCTTGCTAGATGGTGGCCAACAGAGAGACTAGCGGACAATCTTCAGTACTAATCTTGTTTAAAACGAGCTCGCTTGAGGGGTTATCAACTCACTTATAGATGGGAGGTTTATGGTTGGCAAATATTTTCCGATTATCAGGGGGTGTGGTCAGGACTAGGGGGCACGAGCTCCACCTGCGCCCCCTAGCACCCGGCACAGAGAGACACACGGCCAAGTGTGTCCCTCACGAGGTGCACCACTGCCTGGCTAGGGTCAGTCAAAGCCTCTCTCTAAGTATTCTATGATCTGCACTATGCAGCCACCTTCAAGCGTCAGTCGTAATACAAAAAAAGCAAGGGTCTTCGTAAGCTGGAGCCTCTACTAAAACTAGAACTAGTGTTCACTAGTAGCGCTCGCAGCACATGTTCTTATTGTCACCCTCGTAGAACAGGTTTTCCCTGAAGACCATACCCTCCCCCCTTCCGCCCCCGGTCCCGGTCAACGGGGGTCCACCACAGATTTCGTATCTCTCCGCTCGAACATTCGCACACGACTTTTCTCGTCGCCGTGTTGCTCCATTCGCATCATGAAGGGTGAGGAGGGAGACTTCACGGGGATCTAATATGAACAGAGGAAGGAGTGGCGTCGCATGTGCAACCACTCCAAAATAATAGCATATTTTCATAGCAGCAATTCCTTCACTAAATAGGCTTGTGAACCTTGTTAGAGAGTCAAAAAGCAACTCTTTCATTACATAGAAGAGATCCACAGAAATGAGTCATCATGATAGTTCTTGGCAGCGTCAGGCATAGTCGTTTACTACTAGAAGTCAGATGAAGAACTGGACTTTTACTACTCGCAAAAAGCTAGCACGCATTGTGGATTCTTGTATTATGAGTACACTATGTACTATGAGATCGCTGGCTTTCCATTGCAGCTTGTGAACAGCAGTGACCCTATTATAGATAGAAGATAGGCGTCGGAAGATATACAGTTACAGACTTCTACAAGAAGAAAACACAGAGAAATAGTTCCAGCCTCGTCTTAACGACATTTCTGACTTCAGCGCCCACTCCTGGTGCTTGAGTCGTCTGGTGTGTGCTCTGCAGCGCGGTTGGAAGCTCTGACGGTCTCGGCTGGAGAACTTTGCCCGCGTCATGTGAGTGTTCCGGAACTACAGCCTCCAGCTGATACGTCCACGTGGGAACGCTCCACGTTTTTCTTGTCTCGTCCTCGTTCAGCCAGTTTGCCAGTGCGGTTTGCGTCGCGCTGTCGCCCTGCTTGACGAAAATGCCGAGAATTGCACTGGCACCGCATTTCTTCACGATAACCTCGTTGTTGCTTTGCATAAAGTGGTATCTCATGGGGTTAAAGACGCCCGTCCTCGTGCCGTGCCTCTCCCAGGCCGGCCAGGAGTTGATGTGCTCGGCAATTTTCTTCAGGTCCTCCACGGCGATTTCCTTGGTGGCATCCTCCGGCAGAAATGTGATTAGAGCTCTTGCTCATAGTACTACATCTTTGTTACTAGCAAGATGCGCCTCGCCAATATACAGCAACAGTGATTATCAAAACCAAAAGAGTTTAGGACTCGAAGACGAGACCGATTGTTTATACACGGGGTCGTCATACACTAACATAATTACTACAACAAAGAGGAAGGTAAAACAGGTGGGGAATCGGTGCGACACTGTTCCCGAGTAGCGAAGGCACGCGCACGTAGACTACACGACTCGGATTCTACTGACCAGAAACACGCACACGCACCTCAATGAGGGCAAGATGACCAAACGCAGAGCGAAGGCACCAAAGAACCAAAGCGCAAGCAACGAAGACTTACCCAACGGAAGACGCCGAGTGCCAGACATGCCAAAGCGACGCGCAAAAGAAGAAAATGCAAACCAGAAAACCAAGAGGGCACAAATCCCTACCAAGCAACTTCCACAAAAGTTATACCAACTCCAAGTCCTTCAAGGACACAACAAAGCTACGAACCAAGACTACGGCGCCAATAAACTGGTCAACAGTAACTACGTCTGGTCTGAGTTTCTGGAGGGTCTTTGCACTCACGGGTCAGTGATGGATGAGGAATGAAGAGTAAGAGGATGACAGAAGTCCTCGCTTCTGCCGTCCGGTGTATAAACAGAAATTTGAGCAAGCTCAAACTCCATACTTTGACAACTGACCAGATTGATACTCTCATTTACAAATCTCTTCCGAAAGTGGTTATTAGTCCTCTCAGTCGAATGAATTCCCCTGAAAAAAATTCAAATTCAAAAAAATTGGAATGAGAGGCGAGCTATCTCTAGTATAGTAATCATAAGACGAATCTCTCTTGCGGCTGTGATAACGTTGCCTTTTCGTGTTGATTGGAATCCCGCCACCGGAGCCTGTCTGCGGTCTTCGGCTCGCTTATAAAGCTATTCCAGTCGGCGACTTTCTGATCTGCTGGTACGATGATCACCTTTGGAATGCCGGAATATACTGGAAGACCCCCTGCCTCCAGCGGCTTCGGATCGCGCAGGCTGTTGTGCACTGCCTCTGGCCACAGCGTTTCGTATTCCTTCTTCACGTGACTTTTACGTCGGGTTTTGCCTTTACCACGATCCAAGACGTCCGACGCCGTGTCGTATGAGGCTGCTGCCAGCACGGAGCATTCTCCAGCGTCAATGAGGATGCCCGGTCTCAAGCGACGGTCGCCCCCGATTACCGGATTGTAGTGGAGTACGCTGGGTAGCAGGTGCGTCGAAAGATTGACGATGGGCTCTTCGCCCTTGAAAATCTTCAGTATCGACTCGTGGTCGGCCTGATGGATCAGAAGTGGCTCTTCAACGCGGTGGAGGAGCGCTTCCAGCTCGTTGCCACTTCGGGGACCCGTCCACACTGAGTTAGACTGCAGCTGCTTCCATTCGACTTCTGCTTGCCGCAGGACTCGTTTACGCTCCGCTACGCTCTCTACCCCCTGGAGGAATTCGCGAGCATCTTTGACTATCTCGTCGAGCCTGTTGTTCTCTCCTTCAGTGGGAGCTCGCTCCAGCAGTTGGAGCATCTTCTTCCTTGCCACGTTGACGCGCTCAGCACTTTCCCCGCCGAGCGCGTTCGCTATTGTCCACAAAAAAGTCCGCGACTGATTCACGAACGAGTGTGCTTTCGGGTGCTCTTTGAAACATCCAGATACCAGCTGTGAACCGAAGAGCAGGTGCGCCCTTACCAACTCAACGGCGCACTCTGGATATTCTTTCGTATAGAGCCTCACGCTTCCAGTCGCAAACTCCGCCCACAAATATTCATAAACTGCTGAAGTCAACGCTCTCTGCACGTCAATTCCGAAATGCTTCTCCTGAAACAATTCTGGCCGCGTAAAATATTTCCACACGCGTGGGAAATGTTGCGTGACCCGCGTGTGCAACTCCTCTGCAGATAGCTGTTTAGGGTGGCCGCTGAAGCCCTCGATGCTCTTCGCGCTTGCGATTACGGCCTCTTGGCTTGCTGATGGAACATGGTGTCGTAGATCCTGAAGAGCATCTGCAAGACCTTGACATTCTCCATGCGGCTGCTCATTCTTGGAAGAAAAGACGCTGTCCTTGAGCTCTTGCGTGCAGACAGATTGTCCCTTTCCTTGTGGTAGAGTATCTTGAGGATGATCTGCATTCTTGGCCTGGACTTTTGCGTTGTCATTGCCTTGCCCCACCTGGCTATTCGTCTTCGCATCGTCAACACTGCTTCTACCGCGAGTATTTTCGTCTCCTGCAAGAAGTCATGATTAAGATTATTCACTCAGGTATGGTTGAAGAAGAAAGATGTCAAAGATTACTACAGGTGGTGTAACTCCGGAGGTCCCACTGGTGTTCAAGAATGATGAAGAAGATAAAAATGAAACTTAAGAAAGGTGGTCGGAAGAAGAAGTAGATGGCGATCATCGTTTCTAATTCTACTAGAGTTGCAACACACGAGGGGGAGTACCAGCGGATCCTAGGCCTCCGCCGACGGCTGTGGCAAACGGGGTGCTCAGCTCAGCTTTACCAGCGGGCTTTTCCGCCGCCATGGAGGACGACTGGCCGGCCCTTGCTGCTTGATCGACGTTTTTCCTGGCTCCATCCTGTGTTGTATCTGTGGCCAGTTTACCGTTCTGTGACCCGGGCGCTTGAGGTGCAGTTTCTGAAGCAGCAGATGCCACGAGCCCTGGTGCCGCAGGTCCGGCTGCAGTAGACGCCTCGAGCCCTGGTGCCGCAGGTCCTGATGCAGTAGATGCCTCGAGCGCTTGTCCCTCACCGACATCGCTCGAAGCTTCTTCAGTCTTGTCCTCGGGTACACTTGTTACCGCCTTTTCCCCATCATTGCCCGCCTGGCTTTCAGTAGGTGCGCCCTCCACTTGTTTTTTCTCATCCTTCCCAGATGGCGCGCGATCCACCTGCTGCGTCCCACACGAAGTACACTTCGTGGTCAGACTCACGTCTAAGAAAGAAGATTCAGATCCTTGCTCGACTGACTTCTCGTATGTTAAAGGTAGTCTTTCACTAACACCATCCGCGCTTACGATGAGCGGCTTCCCTTTCTTTCTTCCCTTAAGATGAACATCCCTTCGACAAAATTCAAACTGGACGCCGCTCAGCATATAATAAATAGTCAGACGACACGGATAGTGGATAGTGATATGGTATTAGCCTTAAGAAGTATGCTCTGGCCGAGCCGCGGAGGTGGGATCGAACTCGACGAACAGATGTTTTACTGACCTTGCCCGACGGCTCTTGTACTCCCTGGTGCGTGTCATCCTGCACGATGTTGATTGTCCTATCTGTGTTCCTTCGCTTCTGCTCTAACGGTAATGCTGCAGGTACGACCATGACTGCCGCACACGTGACACGGCGACTACAGGATCGCACTCTCCCACCATTCTCGCCGCGCGCAGTTGTTACCTTCGAACCAGGCAGCAACTTGTCTCGGAGGGTGTTCACAGAGGTTAGAAAATGAGGAGGATCGAAAATGACAGCTGTGAGACAATATTTTCAATTCGCTGCTAATTGCCAAGGTCATTCTTGTAGTCGTTGTCATCAAACAAGGGCCAGCTCGAGCATCTGCAGTTTTTACATGGAACGAATGTTCTTTCATGCTGGTCCTACAACAAGTTGAAGTAGCCTTAAGTTTTTCTTTATTGTTCGGCTTCTTCCCCGGTAGGCTTCTAGATCTGCCTCATTCACGCGTAGTGTTCTCGTTGTGGGCGATGTAGTAGTCTTTCTCGTTGAAGTCTTTGACTTTGCCGTCATACCTCATTTTGAAGTCATGAAATGAAGCTGGTTTAATATTGCCTACGTTCTTGTCTATAGAAGTGTAATATGTGTAATGAATAAAGATGATGTTCCCCTGTTCCTGTTCCAGTTGTCTTAAGATGTATAAAAAACCGGGCAATAAGAAATAGATGCACTAAGAAGCTAATCGAGAAAAAACGCTGTACCTGGCGAGCGCTTGGTCTTTTGATTCCCTCTCCGAGGTTTCTTCTCCAAGGGCGACACTGAGTTCGTCACTGGACTCTTTGACGTCGTACTCGTGCCTTGATTTTTTGGTCAGAAAATATCTTCAAGAACTGCCAGATCGTAGTTGTTGGCTATTTTTGGAATTCGATTTTTACATAATCAAAAAAAAACCAAGCAGATGCTCAACTCCGTTGTGTGTTAAAAATGATGAACAAGATTGATCAAGCCACTATACCGCAATAATATTCCCAAACAAGTAAAACTTATTCAGATCTTCTACCTGGCGAACCCTTTTCCTTTTTCTCTTTGCGGGGTTTCCCCTCCAAAGACGACACTGGCGACGAGGACGTAGTAACCTTTGTCGGTGGACTCTTTGACGTCGTGCTCGTACCTTGTTTTTTTTGTCAGAAAATATCAATTACCAGATCATAGTCGTTTACTTATTTAATAGGTTGCTTGAGTTTTTACATGTTAAAAAAAATCCAAGCAGATGCAGCACCAGATCTCTAATTCCATTGAGTGGTAAATTTTATAATGACGATTGAACAAAATCAAAAAACTAGAAAAAATCCGTGGAAATGAAATTCCCAAATAAAAAGTACAACTTATTCAGATCTTCTACCTGGCGAACCCTTTTCCTTTTTCTCTTTGCGGGGTTTCCTCTCCAAAGACGACACTGGCGACGAGGACGTAGTAACCTTTGTCGGTGGACTCTTTGACGTCGTGCTCGTACCTTGTTTTTTTTGTCAGAAAATATCAATTACCAGATCATAGTCGTTTACTTATTTAATAGGTTGCTTGAGTTTTTACATGCTAAAAAAAAGCCAAGCAGATGCAGCACCAGATCTCTAATTCCATGGAGTGGTAAATTTTATAATGACGATTGAACAAGATCAAAAAACTAGTAATTAAAAATCCGTGGAAATGAAATTCCCAAAGAAAAAGTGCAACTTATTCAGATCTCCTACCTGGCAAACCCTTCCCCTTTTTCTCTTTGCGGGGTCTCCCCTCCAAAGACGACACTGGGTGCGAGGACGGAGTAATCTTTGTCGGTGGACTCCTTGACGTCGTACTCGTGCCTTGTTTTTTTGGTCAGAAGATAACAGCTACCAGATCATAGCCGTTCTTTTTAGGTTACTTGAGTTTTATTTTACATGATCAAAAAAAAATCAAGCAGATGCAACAGATCTTTAATTTCATTGAGTGTCAAATAACGATGATCAAACTTCTTGTATGTACAACGAGAAATCTTAACAATCCATAGAAGTGAAGTATGTATAATAAATAAGAAATCAAAAGCTGTACCAACTGGGGAGCCCTTATTCCCTTTCCGGGATTTCCTTTTCAAAGGCGACTTAGCTGACATCTTTGATGCTGCAGAATGACTTCAACCAAAAGTATTATCACATCATGAACATAGGATGAATACCAAGTCAATATCTTGTTCGTGGATCATCACTCTTGTGTTAGTTATATACTAAGCTCTTCATCATGGTCAGTCAATGGTAGAAGAAAGGACTTCGTTGTAGTACTTGGAGTCATCAAAACTACTAGATCTGTGGTGTTGGTAATGAGCAAACTGAGCAAGCTGAACAAGGAGAGTGAACAAGAGTGACGTGCAATTGTAATTCTCAATAACAACTTACTATTATACCTACTAGCAACGACGTCGACCTCGACGGTCGGACCAAGTAGCACCCTACGTAATTTTTATAGATAGATGATGCAAAAAACTAGACATATATATACTTAGGTGAAAAATCAATTTGGAAGAAATACAAGATGTGGGGAAGGCGGGAAAGGAAGTGTGGAGGCAGTCGGGGTTAGCGGGCAACCTGCTCAACATTCTGTTGTTGTAGATGCAGTCAAAACTATTTATCTTGAAGATCTCAATGATCGATCAGATCGTCGAATAGAGGAATACAAGAATTTTACAGGTAGTCTGAGATCTTAGTTGTACACAATATTGATGGACCATCAGACCGAACGGAGCGATGACAGAGTTGTAAGCTCCTGATCCTTGGTGTGTACTAGTATCGATCTTTTCCGTGGTCGAAATTAGACATCACTCGCCCTCGTTGCCTAGCTATAATCTCGTTGTTCTCGTTCTCGTTCACGATCTAGAAGTTTAGCTAATACAGTTGTTCATCCTCATGTTGTTCTCTATATCAGATCCTGGTCTACTACTTCTGCTCCGTAGCGACACTACTCATATATGCTTCCCTGATATTATTGCCTTGATAAACACTACAGAAGTCTTCGTCACCGATGTGGATCCCTGATATTTCTGGTTGTGCTATGACCGTGTTAATATGATTGGTTTCGTCATGCTCGTCATGTCTTTCGAATACTCAAAGTCCGGAGAATCTTGTCCAACAACTACAAGGGCACAACTATGGGTGTATTCGAAGAACACGATGAAGAAAGGTAACGACATCCATTATAACATTATGGCAGCTCCTCCTTCATACAAGTGCACACTAGTACGACACTACTGGAGCCCTGCTTTCTAGAGCACGAAGTATAGAAGAAACAGCGCAACAAGTCAGATGGTAATAATTGTCATACTAGATATGTGGGTGACGAATAGAGTTCTTCTTGTATGTCGGGCACTTGTAGTTTGGGTACGACGAACAATTTTGCAGCACCCTGCTCCTGATGTGACAGCCTGACAACTCTGGGGTGCGTCTTCTAGTAGTACAGCGTCTCAACATGTACATAACCTTATTTGCTGTACCACGTTAGTTTACTTACTCATCATGCTATGAAGGTTTGGATCCTCGTATCGACGTCATCATCCACAGTAGAAGATCTTTTATGTCAGTCTATTACGAGACTCCGTGCCTGCTGGCACTAGTACAACGTCGATGATGTGAAAACTATTCGTCGTTTTCAGTAGAGCGGTACACAACCTTCCCAGAAGTTCTCCGAAGGAGTGGTTTTCCTTGTATTATCCTACAAGTAACCTGTAACGACCCGTCCTCATCGCCGCACAAACTCGCACAAGAAAGCCCAAAACTTTGACGCTTCAACGCTTCTTGCAGCAATCATCTACCTGAACAAGATGATATTAGAAAAGCAATAATTATTTATCGTGGAAGGACCCTTAATCATGTCATGTGATCGCCCCGTGTTGCGATCCTATCTCGATCACCTAAGGAACTGTATTACATAGAGACAGAAGTTCTAGAAAACTAGCTCCTAAGTAACTTATAGTCAAGCGTTCAGCTAGTGGTTGACCCCAATTCGACTGTTTCTGTAGTTGGACTTATACTCTCGTCGTCCTAAGAGTAGACCTATTAGACAGTAAAAATCATGAAGAAATATATAATCTTCTGATACAAATTGCGAATGTACCAGAAGTCGCGTGGTGCGACTATAACGTGTTCGTGTTCGTAGTTTCAAGGCCATTGGTCATGTGCACGATTATTTTCACACCTCCTCCTTCGTCGTACTAGTACCACCAGCGCAATCACCACGACCACGAGTACCACCAAGAAGTATTTATTTTTTGAAGTATTTACTTTTTGGTTTTTTTTCTCCCAGAAACAACAGGTCCACGAGGGCTCTTTTTGCTATAATTGTTCAGAGGACGCTACTGTATGATCGTCCGAAGGAGATCCTCTGAAGATTCTGCTAATTTCGCGTATAATGGCTGATCTTGTTGCTGTAAATTGTGAATAATAGAAGATGTTGATGATTTATTTTACTTCGGGTTGTTGACTTCTTCTTGATGCTGATTTTGTAGAAGAATTTGTATTTGATGAATGTTCAATGTTTTTTCCTTCACGTTTTTCCTGCGTGCTCCTATCTCATGTGTCTCCTGCGGCCCTCAGCTGCTTCTTGAAGCAGACACACTCCTTTCTTCGAAGTATGATCTAGTACAATTACTGTGTGATAAGAACATCACTTCTTGTGGCGTCTACATGTAAGCCGGCAGCTTCGAAAGAGCGATAGCGATAACGACCGCAAGAACGATGTGCCACAGGGAAAAGCGGAAGTCTGATTGCCCCACTTTCGCTTCCAGAGTCTCCTTCTCTCGCTGTAGGAAGATTAGAAAGGCGAGTAGTAGTGGTAGCGTTGTACCCAGTCTAGAGGTATAGAAGAAGACTTCCCTTTTAATTTTATTATGCATCCATTTTCTTCCCCTTGCAGGATATGTGAGCGTTTGCCCGTAGTTGTTTTCTTCTTTGAAGAGAACGAATACTAGCAGGGTAATATCAATATCCTACTCATTCGTCAAAGCGCACTGATTTAATATCCCAGGTTCGCATTGATTTAATTATCCTATGAAAACAAGAAAAGAATACTAGTTCTAAGAACAATCAGTCTACTTGCATAGTTGTTCTAAAAAGATCTGTGTAAGACGAAGTTAGAGGTTAAATTTAACGTATGCCATAACAGAAGTGTTTGCTCCTCCAGTGTTACCGTGTATTTAACGAGTTCGTCGTATTTCGCCTGAATACTTGTTCCCCCTCCAGGAGCACCTCTTGTCGCCGACGCCGGAGCTGCAGACGAATCCGTATCGTAGCTCACATTCATCTTCACCTCATGGAGAATTAGAGACGACAGCGAAGGTCTACTTCAAGAAACTAGTACTCAAGAGAAACAAGTAACTACCCTACTCAAGAGATCTTTAACAAAAAAATAATTTGGTTTTTCTAAACTCAAGCAATCGCTCAAAACGATTGCCGATTTAAGGTTTGCTATATTTATCATGTACTTAGTAGCTCTTACTGTTGCTCTTGCTACGAAATTGATTACGTCAAATCACATCTCCTACTATCAAGTAATAAATACTTACTAACTACTCTTACTAAGAAAACTAGCCACTACTTACATCAGTCTACAACAACCTCCTGTCTTAAAATCTCTGCTTTGTCAGCCCTTGTCCATTGTTCTTTCGTCAAATTTTCTAATCCATCAATGGCCAGAGCTTGGACCAAAAATCGGTGCGACGACTCCCTTCCAGGTGCATCTTGACCGGGTTGGAGGACACTGTAAGTATTGGATGAAGGGACTAACCTAAGACGCTATATGAAAAAATTGTCTTTAGATGATGTTGATGACTATCACAGGAGGACACTGTTGTAATAAAGAAAAAGAAGTGACTGCTGAGATGGAATAGGAAGAGAGGTGTTTGCAGTTGTCGTTGATGAGATGATTTCGTATGGAAGAAGTAGTTGTTGTTGATAAATCAAAGATGAAGGAGATGGTACGAGAAGAAAGTTGTACACCAAAGAAAATCGACTTACATTTTCACGGTTGCTTGCTCTCCGCTTTTGAGAACATCGTTTGAAGGTCGCACGACATAGCTCTTCGGTGCTGTTGTTTTCACCTTGGGTATTAGAAAGGGTGGAAAGACCCTTGCATAATCTTGATCTGAACTACAGGTTATAAACAGTATGAATGTAAGTCATGGATTTTGGAAAACATCCCAAACGAAGTTGAAGTTCTTGTAGCCATAAGTATGCGATATTTTTCTGCGTCGTATTCCGGATCACCAGTCGTTCCTCCAATTTTCCTGACTCAAACCTCAGAGTCTGAGCAGGAGTCAATTCAAACAGTTGGGCCATCCTTTCTTTTTGGTAATTATGCTAATTGAAATTGCCAAACAAGTACTAGAAACAGTCTTGAAGATTATAGACATATAAATAGAAGTTCAGCGGATAATATTAATATTGTATTAATGGAACACCAGGGGAGATGGATCCTTCGGAAAGAGGGGTTGTATGTCGTGGAAGATGAGAAAATTCCAGACCCAAAAAGAGCTAGTTCCAAATCGAGGGAAAATTGTTCTCCTGAACAACAGCGAGACCATTCAAATTTTTTCAACAAAAACAGGGATTTTCAAAACGTCAGCTCGCAACTCATTGAGAAAGCAGCACCTGTGAGTTCGAAATGGAGAGATAGAGTTGGTTCTTGAATGGATAGAAAGTTAGCTTTCTAGAACAAGAACAGCAACGTCATCTAGAAAATAGCACTCATAACTCTTCTATAATTCCCCATTTGATTATCTCCTGTTAGTGTTTCTTTCCAGCACTACAATACTTGTACTTTCTCTAGGTAGGAGTACCAGCATCCAAGTAGCACGTTGACGTTGTAGGGCATCATGATATTCAGTTTCCTACTAGCACAACTAGTACTAGTACTGGTACATCAACTACCACAGATAATACAAGGATCATTGATGCTGAGGATGTGGCAGCACAGGCTCCTATAGCCATTTATCAAACAGGTCTGAAGATTCATAATTCATCCAAGAAGATGGACCGAGGACATCAACATGCCCATAAATTCGCAGTGATCGCTGGTTGAAATGGAAGAGAACAGACTTAGACTTTCAAGATGTTGAAGCATTGTCCCTGTTAGTGGACTTTCCTTCAATTCACTTGTAGTGGAGACTGATACATGATTTCGTTGTGTAAGTACACAAGAGAAGACATGGTGACGTGACTTCTTGGCACGGAAAATTTGTTGTGGAGGAACTACGAGTCTCATTCTTGGTGAATTCGTGCACATGTTGATTATCCTCATCACCTCTTCCTGGTGGTTGGTTCTTGACCAAGAAATGTTAGAAATAGAACAACAAAAAGAATAAAAAAGTTGGACTCTAATCATGTCGAGTACTATGAGGAACTACGTCGTCTACCTTTGTTATCTACTAAAATTGTTTGTTTGAAGGGACTAACTACCTAGGAGGATGACGAGGGAAAAATAACCGGTCATTTTTCTTTATGTGTAGTACTTTCCAAGTACTCTAGTTCTACAAGAACTAGTTCGTCCGCTTTCCTTGCAACCACACACCTTCTATCTGCGTTCCGTCTCGTCGCGTGAAAATGCCTGGTCCTTCTTGCTTACCCACACGCCAAAATCCCTCGTATCGACGTCCATCAGCCCATAAAAACGTACCGAAAGATATGAAGGAAGGCAGGGGATACAATGGTTGAAAATCATGGTCTATCTTTATCATCTGGGTGGAAGTTCAAACTACGCCAGGAGCATATTATCAATTTTTGATTTATTCTAGGTCCTCACAACATAGGATAGCCATGGAAGGTAGTCATAGAAGATAGTCATAGAAGATAGTCATAGATGAAGATAGTCATAGATGAAGATAGTCATATTAGATAGATAGTCATAGAAGATATCCATGACTCTAGTACTACAACGAACGACTGACTGAATCTGCGTTTCTTCATAAAGCCATGTTTTTTATCGTCGACGTATTCGCCAGCGTAGCTGCGTCCATCTCCCCATCGATAGATCCCCAAACCATGTATCAAGGAATTCTTCCATTCTCCACGGAAATTTTTGTCTTCAGCTGTGTATAGACCAAGGCCCTGATGTTGGCGTGGTGGCGGTCGTGGTAGAAAACATGATCGAAGTGACAGGTTCGTTTGGAACCAACTAGATGAGACGGACTGATAAAAGTGAAGTGAAATCTACTAGAAGAAACTTGTAAAAATCCAAAGGAGATTGCACTTACAACCCGATGAAGAAAGTCTCGATATGTATGCTATCATTGACTAGAGGCAAAATCGTATAATTGAGTTCGAGAATTCATCATGATATAATAGATTGCATTTATGATTTGAAGATTCTTGCAGAATGCAACTAAATATCAAATAGAAAGCTTCTTGAACAACGACACACAATCCAAAATGTACCTGCCATGACCTCGTGAGGCATGACATGGCAAATATTTTGCGACGCATGAGTTTTAATTTCTATATCAAGCGATAAAATCGAAATTTTTGGTTTAATGTTTGAAATTTCACATCCAAATCCAAAATTTTGAATTTCAAATTACAAGTTTTGAGCTTCTAGCTTCAAATTTGCGGTCTAAATTTGAAGCTTACAATTCTTTGAGATTCAAAATTTTAAATTTCGAAGCTCGAAACCTAAATTTTTGATTTTATCGCAAAAAATTGAAGTTTAAATTCTATTTCAGCGTTGATCTGCATCAAAATGCAAAGGAAGGAGCGGAGGCGCGCTTCGTCGAAGGGATGCGTTGGGCAGGAGATGGGAGCTACTAGTAGTTACAGACAGGGAACTGTCGGGCGCTTAACCAAATCAAAGTCTTCATCTAGCACTAGTACTAGTATTAATACTTCAAGTTTATTCGCTTGCCAGGTCCCTTGGTACTCACTCTGATCGGGCCACACGTAGACACCATGACCGTTTTTGACTCCGTTCTCGAAGCGGCCTTCAAATTTACTCCCTTCTCCCCATGATTCTACGCCATGACCCTGCTGTCTGTCGTTTTTCCACTCGCCATAAAAAATGGTTTCGCCATGAATATAGACGCCGAATCCATCACAGCGATTCTCCTTCCACTCACCACAGTAGTGGTCTGCGCCCGACGCGTAGTCGAGTTGACCTGTGTTTGTTCTGGTTCCTATGATCTAGATTAATATACCGCTGTGGGTCGTCAATACTATGTTCTGAAGATAAAAATGCTTGTTCTGTTCATGGACTGACATGTCTACGAAGTCAGTCGCAGTAGGCACATTTAAAACCTTTCCCATCATACACAACGTCATGCAAGGTGCTGCTGCATCAAATCTTACTATCGCTGCAATGGTACCTGCTTCTGCTTCTACTACACATTCTCAGTACTACCTTTCCCATGTGCTTTGTCGTCATGCCATTCCCCTACGTACTTGGTGCCATCCGGCCATGACATTTGGCCAGTGCCATGTCGTACCCATTTAGTAGTTGTTCCTTCTATTTTGCTGGGATTCTCGGAACTGCTGGTCTTCAATGTAATTCGTTTCCACTGTTAGAGCGACATCCCTGTAGTGGGGATGATCCCTCAGCAGAGTCAAGATCTCCCTAGTCGTTCCTATGAGATGAATTAGGAGATGGCCTTAACACTGACCGCTATAGACGGAGCCGGATGATAGGGTTACTGGCGAAGAGGAGGATGGTGGCCTGGTAAAAGATGCGATCTCCGCCGAATCGCGCTCAAAGTAAGCACGTGGCGGGAGTTGCGTCAACGGTTCTTGTCCCTGCCTTGCGCCGTTTGCAATATTGAAGAGGTGGATGATATTGAGATAGCGATACGGGACGAGTAGCAGAAGCACAAATGATGTTGATAATAGCTCTATAATTGCACTTCGACGGTCTTTCGTAAAAGGGCGCAGGTGGAAAGGGAATAGTTGTATCAAAATCAGTCATGTACTTTTATCCTACTCCTACGAATTGGTGATTGTCAATATTGCGCGTCTTCTTGTTGATCCTGTTCATCATATTTGACCATACATTTGAAAGTGTCTGGAAGACCGAGAACCCCAGCGGTGGACGAAGTCGAATTAGCGCTGGTCTTGACTTAGTCAACGAAATCAGTATCTTCAATAGGCACGATAGAACAATTCGATATCAGAAGAGGTACAAAAAGTTCCATATGGCCTAGGTGGAGAAGGAGACATACATCATCTACAGCCTTGGGACTTTCAGCTTCTGAACGACCAAGAGGACGACCGTCTTCCTTTACATTGTCAGCGCTAATTCGACTTCGTCCAGCGTTGGTCTTGACTTAGTCAACGTCTAGCGTTCTTGGTCTCGACTTAGTCAACGAAATTTCACGACGCTGAGGATCGAGGATGTTTCCTCCACCAAAAAGTGTCCCATATCGTCTTCATGATCTAATAACTGAAATCATGTACTTAAGTATAAGTAGTTGTTCTAATAGACTTAATACAGGGATGATGTGGGGGACGTCCACCACCTCAGGACATAAAATTACTGGATAGAAGCTGACCTCTTGGGACACCAAAGATGCTTACAGGCGGTTGCAGGAGTCCGCTCGTAGGTAACGTGAGCCCACCTGGTCGTACTGACAAGCTGTGCACACCACCAAGACCTCCGGAGAGGGAAGCGAAGAATTAGAACTGACACTGTGTTGCAATAAATGCAACATTATTTATAGTACTTCTTAGATTGCGAATCATCGCATAGTACTTAGATTCCAAGATCATCAAGATCGACCTCATCAAGATCAACCTTAAGTTGAAACCGTTCCAAGAGAAGGCAATCCTCCACCTGCACTTTTTGCGCCTCCGAAAAACATACGGTCGATGCTCTCCTCATCCCGTGGATCCTGGTGCCGGGAGTCAATCTGCCCATAACTAGGCGGTAAGTCCCCGTCACAGGTTTCCGCTGTGCAGCACTCAACTGCGGTCGAGACACATGAGCCGAGAAGGTCCATCTTCTTGCTTTGATCTTTGATTCCGAGTTCGTCCGACTGTCTTCTGCAAACAAGTTGTAGTCCTAGTTTTTGTCGCAACAGCACTGATCTTCGTGCTGTTGTTGATATACGAGGAACATCAACGAATGTATTTTCTGAGAGAAGCCGCGTGACTGATAATGAATGAATGTACCCACTCCAGGGGCATAGAAGACCTGAGAAGCTGACCAAAGAATATGAAAATCCTGTTCACATGTCTGAACATTGTTCAGTGAACAAGGTGGTGCCGCCTGATTGTAGTCCAAAACAACGTCGATGAAAACCTCCTGCTAGTTCCTTTCATAGAAGTACAACAACAAAAAAGTTCAAACATTTTTGATGCATACAGATACAAAAAAGACTTCCGCCATACCAACATCCCTTGTACAACTCGCCTCCACCTCTTTATTCCGTGTTCGGGAGGGGACGGGGAAGTACAACAACAACAACTCCTAACCAATTTTTCGTTAGTATTTAGCACATTATTCTTTGGAATATCATCATCGCTCAGACAACGCATTCGCATGATGATAAGTTAGAAGTCACAGAGATGAGAAAGTTAGCATCCGCTCCATCAATATTTTATAAGAGTAAGTGGTCCGTTCCTCCAAAAGAGACGCAGCGGCCGCCTCTACCTGCTTGTTGCAAAGTCCGATTATGATACCGACAGAACCATGTACATCAACCGAAAGCACCAGCTACAACAACTCACCAGATTCAGAGGAGTAATATAACAGAACACCCTCCAGCACTGTGAAGAACAGCACCTGTAAGTGTGAATTTCGTCTCAACACGACCCGTAACATTTTGATCACTATTTCAGTAAATTTTTGTTTAGAGAAATGGATTTCCTGAATCCACCACCATGCCTCCGGCTGGCGGTCTGATCGGTGCTGTGATATCAGGTTGCCCCAGTGCGTTTATAGGACTTTCATACACAAACTCCGCTCCAATCATACCACGTTCGAATTCGGAAGGTCGTTTTCGCGGTGCGAGAGAGGGCTGAAGATGTAGTCGTGGGAATATTATCAGAATAGTTGGAAACTAATGTTGAGGAGAGGAATACCAGATTGATTGGAACAGCTTGAATTCTTTCTAAGTACTTGTTACTAGATAAAACGTCGGATACACATAATGATGGAGTTGTAGACGATAGTGGAATAAATGATCTAGATCTTCTTTTTCTTCTCAACTCTCAACTAGAGACTAGACTCTCGATCGCATAATTCAAATTTCCATCTGGTGACGAGCACGACCTAAACATTCGTTCCTTCCGCTTATAATTTTCTACTATGACCTAGTTGTATTACCGGCCCTCCTCCTCCACTGTCATTTCCGCTGACTCCTGCCATTTTCATTGCTGCGACGTCCTGCACAGTCTTCCAGAACCCATTCCACTTAGCTTGCTGTCCTAAATCATGCGCGGAAGGGATTATTTGATTAGAAGTGGATGCGGATGTACATGCACACGCAGTGTTAACAAGCTAATAAATATCACTTCTTGGAATTGGATCCTGAAAGCTTTTCCAAAGGAGCTGCACTCACGACAGCATCATGGGGAAGTTGTATATCATGTGAAACTACATCTCAAACTTGTTTTTAGGTGTGTTGATGTAGTACTTATGAAGAAGATTCTATAAATATGTTTCTGCAGGTTCTTTTTCCAGTAAAAATGGTAGCCGTAACTTGCCTTGCCGTGTTCCCACTGCGTGACATACTCGCGGCGCCTCCGACTGGAATCGGTATCACGAAGGGCAGTACCGGAAAATTGTTGATTACTTGTCGTTCTTGATCTTCGGTTGGCTCGGATCCACCTCCACCATCGCCTGGATCGGGTCCGCTATCATCAGCAGTGGAGCCTGCTTCTGCGAAGCTAGCTGGTGTTGACGATGTAAAGGAAGACGGTCTGCGTCCTCGTTCAGAAGATGAAAGTCCCAAAGCTGTAGATGATGCTGATGTAGGTCTCCTTGACGAAGTTGTTGAGGGTTCGTTTGGGTTTGTGTCCTCCGACAAGTAGAAGTGCGTAGCTCTCCCTCTCGTCGTACCTAAACTAGAAGCAGAAGATGGCGTTCGTCCAGCGCGTCCTTGAAAATTATACCCATCGCAATGCTGTTGAACGAGCAGAGACGATACCATCCTGCTCGTTCCTCGTCTAGGGTTGCGGTTCATCAACATGGAAAAAGGAGGAGTCCTGGTAGCTAGTCTTAAGATAGCTTGGTAGGCAAGTAGCACACAGACAAAGTGAACCGATGGATAGGGAAGGTTATTTGCTAGCACTAATCCTGTCTCGCTACCTACTTCTGCCTATCTTGTTGAACAAAAATTGAGAGTGAAGCCACATCATGATATAATTCATTGTTGGAGACAATGAATCGATACCAAAAGCTACAACGGAGATATCCTATCGAGTCCAAGTACTCCTTGCAATAATCACGTCAATTCATTCAATACGAGTACGAATGCGACAATAGGCTATACCTACAAGCTAGTACCGAACGATGACCACCAGATTCCATCTTCATGAGCAAGGACGAGGTCTCACTATCAAGAACGATTCCAAAAGTTGTGACGAATGAGAAAACATAATCATTTTTGACAAGGACAACCAATCTCTAAAATGACAATATAGTTCTGTAACAGTGCATTGAATCAAGTAAAGTCTATACATCTTCACACATCAAGTCGAAGTCTATGTTGAACAAGAAAAACTATACACATACCTACTAGTACAACTACTTACTTCTACATCTATCAACTTGTTGAGAGCTAGTACTTAAATCTGCCTCGTGTAGTAGTGACGAATGAAATTCGACACTGTAACATACTTCGAAACAAGAAAATGAGACTACTTCTTGATCTAATCAAGTAAGCACATGAGCTTCCCTGTTCATGAAAGAACCTACCCTTCCCGTCGTAGTACGATCATCTCCCCTACCACCTAAAGAAGCTCCACCTCCTACCCTCTAACTACTAGGACGTTTGAGTGCTCCTCGAACTACTAGGTGGTCCACCTGGGTTGGACTAGTTGAGAGCTCCACGACCTCCTACCTTCCGAACTTACTAAGACGACATCATCTATGCAGTTGTAAGCAGGTACACCCTGCTACGTCCACCTTCTCGTCCTCCAACAAGTACCTCTGTAGATGAACTGAGAGAAGTCCTCTCCTCCTCCACCTCCGCCCCAAGATCGCTATACGACGAGCTCTGGCTTGCTGGAGAGGGTCCACGCGAACAAGAAGCTGTTGTAGACACTGAATCTGCATCATCCAGCAATCGTGGAACAAGCTTCCCATCCCGCCAACGAGTCTGCGCATGCCACGCTTGGGGTAGGCGAAGCTTCATCTTCATAGCCTTGTTCATGGAGGTCGAAGAAGATGTTGTAGATGAAGGAGCGCAGGAGTAATTTCTTGATGTCGATGTTGATGTAGTACTACTACACGCATTTCGTTCTACAGGACGACACGTCTCCTCTTCATCAGAGTCAGATACTAGATCAGACCTTGATAATAGCTCGTCATCATCGTGTGAACTAGAAGTGTCATCCTCGAGTTGTACATGTTGTAGAAGATCTTCATGAAGACCACCAACACCATCCGTTTCAACATCATGATCATCATGAACATGACTTTCTTGTTTTAGTTGTACTACTTCTACTTCACGACCTTGGGGTACTGGATCGTGCTGTCTTTTGTCCTCTTCCTCAAGCTTCTTTAGCGCATCAGCTACGTGCTGAGGCCGAAACTGACGTATATCTACAGGAGACGAAGCAGTTGCTATGCGACGGCTCGCAGCACGTCTAGCCCGATTTGCGTTCCACTTGCGCAGCATGCTGATAATCCTGGAGATAAAGCAGATGATGAAAGCAGCTTGAACCAGTGCCATAAGGATGACGCTGCTAGGACGCGCAACACGACGCGGTGGCTTGGGAGTATTTGTATTCGAGGACGTGCTAGTGCCAGAAGAAGTGCTACTTTGCAAGTCGTCTTCTGTGCTAGTTGCGTCAAAGGTGGTGGCTGCAGTCGATGTTGACGGTGTCGGAAGGTCGAGCCTGTAAAGTCGAGTTGGAGTTGGTTAAGTATATTAATCTGTAAAGGAATACTTAATTGCATAAAACATCATCTAAATGAAGAAATGAAATTCAAAACGACCGTAGCGTACACTTCAAAGAAAAAAGTACATTGGCTGCGCATCATCCTGCACCTGCTTCGTCGTCGCAGCTACTTGCAACGATTCCTCTGCTGACATCTCCTCGTAAAAATCCGCTGTTTGGAGGTGCTGCTCGTGGTTCTCATTCTCGTCCTGTAGAAGTGGCGGAAAAAGATGATCCGGCCTCACCCATGGTAGTGAAATCTCTGCCTCACGCACTGTGTAGTCGATTCCTGGTCTCAAGCGGACTTCGCCATCGTCAAACGGCGGTCCCAATACCATCGGGAAATGGTAGTGAGTAGTTGCCAGACCAACTGCGGCTACAGCTCCTCCTGCAAGGAAGCTAGTGCATGTTGAAAAACGTCCACTCCTTGGACAATGATTTTTACGAGATAGAGTAAGAGTACTAGGTCGTCGTGCAGGAGCAGTTGTCATTGTCCTATTGTTCGCCGTCCTCGTTCTTAGTTGTAGACTACTATGACGATGATCTGCTTCTTCATCTGGATCCATGCACAGGTTCGGATGACAGGGATAAGTAGATCTTCATTCCTTCATGTTCATATAATTATGCTCATCAAGATGAAGAAGTAGCTCAAGATCAAGAAGCTCCAGTTGTTTTGCTATTAGAAGTGTTCATCTGAATGACCAGCATCTTCTACCTCAACGATCATGATTAGCTCTAGCTCAAGAGGAGGTAGTAGTATTCTGCCTATCAATCAAAAAATGTGAGATTGATTGAGATACAAAAGTAAAAGGATATCGCTAGATAAACTCAAAGAGAACATTTAAAACCTTGCCAACAAGTATTTCGTTCTTCCGGCTCTTTAGGAGCGACAGGTTCTAGGAAACAGAAAGTGAGGTGTCTGCTTGGGGTAATAGCTTTCGATCGATTGTCATTGTTTTTTGTCCCTTGCGACCCACATGACTTTTGACCGACTGAAAAGTGTTTTCCCCGACTGCCATGAGCGTTTTCTTATCTACTTAGCTACTTCTTCCTACACCGACGCTGATCAAACCGATTTCTTCTCCATCTGAGATATCAACATTTTCGTGATCGCACCGAGACTAAAATGACATGAAGATGATCAGTCAGTATGTACAGCTGGTCGTGATGGTGTTAGTGAAATCCTAAGAACAAAAACATTGAATCTACTTCATTTCCAGTGCGGAGAACCGTCCACGTCTGAGGATCTAAGTACAAGTAGTACATGATCATCAAGCACTAAGCTCGAGCTGCAGCAAGAGATTCATTTCCATTTATTTTATGAAGATAGTACTCAAAAATGACGAGTCACTCTCTTCCAGAAAATGTAAGAAAATCATCGCAGGAGCTCCACAAAGAAACTCAAAACATCCTCAGTCCACCTGGACCTGTATTCTCCGCTTAGATTTCTTCAGGCGCAAGTTGTTCACTTTGATGCAGAGCTTGCGATGCATACGGAGGAAACGACGATACAAGTAAAGGTTCGCATCCTCAATTTTGTGTCCGTAGATGAACATCAAAGACAGCTCGCCGTACGTTGGGCCAGGTTCGTTTAATGTCCAGAGCCAGTTGCGATTAGCGGTGGCGTGGGTGTGGGTATGGTCTTCAGTCATTCAGTTGATGCCCCAGTGAGGATGTGAATCTACTCGGCAGTCTGCCTAAGGTTGTTCCTGTTGATGTACCATTATGAGTATAGAATTGTTAGTCGGTCCTCTGTAACACATGGATCGTACTGCACTTCGCATTTTTACCCGTCTTGTTTACACATCATACACTCTATCTCTATGCTACTCAGCTAAACAACTTCATCCAGTTCCACCTCCACCATAACAGGATAACACGCATCGTCTTTTAGCTGGACATCGGGAACGTTGGCGAAAATGTTGAAAACGTCACCGGCTCCGGGTGCAATTGGTTTCTTTTCCTCTTTGCCACCAGCATCTTTCCCACCCTTCTTTTTCGGACCCAAAAGGGGTTTTGAGGGATGGAAAAGAGCTCCAGGTGATGTAGTAGTTGTGGATCCTCTGCATGCCACTTCTTGTGAGGAGAAGGGATATACTGGGGATATCACAGTGGAACACGACCTAGATCGGGGAGTAGAGGAGCAACATGCTGGTGGCCTTCTTGATAGAAGAAGATCGGCAGTGATTTTGGCAGTCATGCTGCCATCTTCTTGTGTCTCGTCTGTGGTCGACCGTCGAGAGCAGAAGGACCTTGACGACATCTTCGCGTCATTGGGAGACATAGGCATAATCGGCCCAGTGGCATGTTTAGCAGAGTGAAGGCATGACGAGCACGATGGAGACCAACCTAGAGCAAACGTTGACCGAGAAGCCCAAACACGTTGGACATGACGCGAGCAAGACAACGTAGTAGACGACATTGACATAGTTTGTTTTCTGTTCTTCGTTTTCAGGAAAGAAAAACCTGGACAAGAACTTCCTGCTTCTCAATCTTGCTAATACCATAGGCACCGACGAGAGTAAGCAAGTATGATCATGATGCCAGGTAATTGTTTGCACCAGCAGTATGATCAGGCTTTTCAGTGAAAGTGGACACAGAAGACAGCGTCATAGCCACATTGCGAACAATTCGAACCAGGTAGTATGGAGGAAATATGAAGCACGATATTTCGAACCGCCTACAAGAACTTGGCGCAGCATCTGCTCAAGGTGCATGACAAAGTCAAAGGCGCGCGCAGTTGCCAACATGCATCAGCAATCCTTTCATGGATGGGGTCGCTATCATCAATCCTCGTTTCACAATTTATTATATTGAAGTTGTAAACCCTAGTTGTTCGTGATCATTTGATGTTCTTGAAGAGGACTTTGATCCTCAACCGCAACTCGTGTAACCCACATTTTTATCGCAGTTGCTGAGCTATGTTGTTATTCGTTTCACAATTTCTACATAACGTCCTCTTCAGGTCTTCTACAGTTCAATCTTCTGTCTATCGATGATGTAATCCAGTTCCCTCGTCTTCGCGATCCAATCCGCCGTTTTCACGATTGGCAAGCCCAAAAAGTTGTCCCTCGCTAGCTGTCGCAAGTTCTTATCGGTATGTTCTGGACTTTTTCCAGTCTGAAAAACCTCCCAACACAACATGCATCGGTCCGGTCTATCCCGGTTGTATTTCGAGCAACTGTTGTCGCAGTAAAGGCTACTCAACTCTATGCGCTGGTCTTGCTGGAGTCGGAATTAGATGTGAGGACGAGGACATGGGTGCATAGGTTTAGGTGCTAGGAGAATGAATTGAAGTCCAATTCTGCAACTAAAAAACCCCGTTCTTGAAGTAAATGTAGAAGGTCGTGATTCATGCTGCTGGTCGCATGAAGAAGATGAAAACTAGAACTAGTCGTGAACGTGATGTCGAACGATTATTTCAAACAAGGAAGCTCTCGTCGAAAAGTCAAACATAAATAATGATTTTTTCAACCTTAGACAACCGACCGAGAGTCAAAAAAAATCTTATCTTACAAGCTTTTTCAACAAGAACAAGCCTTAATCAAAGAAGTGTTTGTGCAGGTTCTGGAACGTCTTGTAGATGTACTCGGTGTCAGCGTGACGTCCTTCTTGTGCGAATCTGACATTAGCACGTTGAACAGCGGTTTCCTCAGGGACGGCAACGAAGGCAACAAATATCTGGTATCCAGCAGCGACGTAAGGAGGCAACACGCGTTTTTGGATGCGGTCCAAGTCTTTACCAGTCTCCTCATAGATCAAGGAAACGCCACGTTTGAGGATTTCCTGATTTATGTGGAATGCTGGGAGTGTGGAATGCTGGGAGTGGGATGTTGTAGAATCACGATGATTAACAGTAAGCCGAAGATTCTTCTAAAGAGTTAGAGTAGTACTTTCATGTTCATCAACATCTGTCTTCTGTCCTGCGTCTACCAGCGGGTGTGTCTAATTCTACAACCATAGAAGTTTTATAGGTGCATCAGCAGTCTCCATCTTCAAGAAGCTTCTGGTACCACTTCCGCTCTTTTCGCGATTCTAATGGCTGCTGAGTAGCACCCGTCTGCTGCATCTTTGAATTTTTTCCCCGGTACTGCCAGGCTTTTCTGATATTCTGGTAGGTATCTGATGTACTCGTCCAAACCATGCAGTACAAACTTCTGAGCAAAGTCCTTCTCTGGTTTCACATGTTCCTTCAGAAGATGCACGAGTGTTGTTTTCCCGGCTCCACTGCCCCCCATGAGCAAGAGCATCTTGCGTCCACGCTTGCTTGAAGGATTGCCAGGAAAAGGACTCAGATGTTGGTCGATCCACGAGGTGACTTCAGCATCGCTGTAGTCGTCACGGCCAAGGCATGGGAAGGGCGTTTTGTCGACGATTTCGAACTCGGCAGAAGCGGATGCTGTGGTTACAAGGACCCCTTGATGTAGGAGCAACAATTTGGCAAGAAGCACCTGACAAGTCGTGCAGCTCCTTATTCTTGCAAGAGCAGGACCACGTGCCATTTTTGTTTGTTCCTTGTAATTGTAGGATGTGGGACGTTTTGTGAAGATGTAGGTAAAAGTTGTCCTGGATACTTCTGGTGGCGATCCTCTTCGACTATCAGCCGAAACCTCATGCAGACATCAACTTTCGCACGTGCTCTTCCTGTGCGACTCCAACTTTATTCTAAGCCATTAATTATTTAAGCTAAGTAACCAGTCAAAAATAACGCGACCGCCACACCCCGGAGTGGACTCTCTTGCCGTCATCGTCATCTCACTTAGTTACTTAATATAGCAGCGGCGGCCACAATGTGATGTAGGTAGTTGTCGTGGATATTACTGGTGGCAAGTAGTTTTGTGTGATCCTTGTTTCATCTCGAAAAAGAAGCAGAACCCCAGAAATAGATAATCCAGGGTGGAACACAAAATTAGCATATGCTTCTAAGAAGCAGCATGCTCATGTAGAAGTGCTCTGAATCATAGAGAAGCCGGGCAAGAAGATAGAGTATTTATTTTTTGTTCTTGTTGTAATTGACACTAAAAATCCTTTCTCATCTTCTATCTTCAGAGGAGGTAATAATTGGTGGTGCGCACCATACTTTCTGTATTTTCAGGGACAAAGAAACTTACATGAACAAGTTCAAGAAGAGTCGATAGTTTGCATAATTGAGGTTCTAAACATGCATCAGTGGTTAAGTATATCAGCGGGAGTTTCTACTCGGGCGCACAGCCAGAGAGCCGAAGCATTCATCAGAAAAGGCCAAGACTTACGCCATGGCCTACTGAGAGTACTCCAACGCAAGCACTAGACTCTCTAGGCGCTCGTAGTGAAACTCTATCTTCTAGCTGACCTTCTGCCGCTACTTGTTATATCAGTATGTAATAAGAAAATGAAAAAAGATAATAATAATAAAGAACGATCATGCACATGATATTAGCTAAATGAGTTCGACGAGATGTTTTCCTCCATTCTGTGACAGTTTTTGTTTTGTCAAGACATTTTTAGTTGTTTTTGGTAAAAGACAAGAAGTGCAACAGTTTATTTCAAAGGCAACCTTATAGATACGGGAATTCCTTTAGCGAGCCTCTTCTCCACATCGTAGACTCGTCATCTGTCGTTGTGGACCACGACCACTTAAGTATAAATATAAAACGTTTTCTTCCACTTCTAGTGCAGCTAAATCTATGTCTAAGTAAAAAGTCGTTGTGTTGATGTTAAGCCTTCAAAACACGTGGAACAAGATGAAGGAGCCTAAGCCCTCGCCTTTTCTCCTCCGTAGAGCGAGACCATCCACGAGTAGATGACGATCACCATGGCAAATATGCTACCCGTCACTCCTCCTACTGCCATCAGCGTCTGCTGACTCGCTGCACGCCGCTCCACTTGCCAGTCCGTGGACAAGATCAAGCCAGCATAGCTCATGTTGTAGCCACGATTCGACTCTGCAATAACGTTGAAGACGTATCGTTTGCCGGTGACGACACCATCAATCGTGGCATTGCATTTTCCACCGGAGCAACGAGAAGCGGGAATAGCAGTGGGACTCGCAGGTCGGTCGGTGTTGTTGTGCAGACCGCAGACCTGATGGTGGTAGAGTAATGTTGAATAAGCATTCGAATCTGAACGTCTTTTACTAGGTGAATGATCATGATGTTCATTTGATTTTCTAGAATATGAATACTTATTATGATGATCATCTACATCCCTGTTTTTATCGAGAGGTTTTTTTTCACCCAACCCATGCAGTGGCTTCCTATTGAAGATAATACCGTATTCATAATTTTCCTCTTGGTCAAGAACACTGCCGCATTCGTTCTTTGATCTCTCTCCAAGAGCATGGTTGAGTAGACCCAATATCTCCTCGTATCCGTTATTCCAGTCGGTTTGTAGTAAGCCGTATCCCATGATATTTGCACCTGCAATTCCTGCAATTGCGTAGCCATCAATCGTCCTTCATTTCCGGGTCGCGGCCATGCTCCGATATCCGACAAAACCGTCAACGTGTAGGAACTCGTTTCTTTCGCATACACTGCTATGTAGTACCGCGTACTGGTCAGCGGCAACTCGAAGAACGTCGGTGCGCCATCGCGTGTCCCGTCTATCACGGACAGGTAGTGGGTCCACTGGCAGTCGTCTGGATGCGACAAAACTTCCTCGCTGGATCCCTCCGTTTGAGGCTGAAACCGCATGCATGAGTACGGATTTGGATAGCATTTCCTCGTTTTTCGCACAAACAGATACACTACACCCTTGCAAGGCTCGAGATTGATAATCAGCTTGCGGAACTCGTCAGCAACATGCATCAGGGTAGCATTGCGGGTCACGAAGAAATACCTGATGAAAAGGATTTTTATAGAAGGATCATTTTAAAAACTAAAAATCAGGGAACAAGATAGAATTATAGAGGTTTGTGAAATATTACGCAGGGTGACGAAGAAGTACCTGGGACAAAAGAATGGTGGTGTAAGAAATTTTTTTGACCTATGCGTCGTATTCTCGACGATCTGTGGCACGTGCACAGATTGACCGTCTGTGAGCTGATTCTCCGTTTGCCCCATTTCTGGGTACGCATGATGCGCACAGGGATCTTGCTCGTTGATATTTTGAGCCGCAACTAGCCGAATCGAGGAAGTAAATATCCATGACAGGATTGCTGCTAGGAATATTGGACGCTTTTTTCGTGAGGCAGTAGTGGATCTGGATGAGCTCCTTTTGCTAGTTGATGACCAGGCGTCGAAGTCTCCTCCTATCTGATTTACTTGATGCCTTTGCAGGCATCGGCCGCTTCTTCTACTCCTCGAAGAAGATGATGTTGTTGTTGTTGATGGCGAGTCAGCTATTTCAACACCGTGTTGAACTGCGGTCTTGGAAACTGCAATTATCATCTGCGCCGGTCTTATTATCTCCTGTATTTCCACGTCTTTCCCCTCCGCAAAACTCCGCATTTTTGATGAAGAACTAGAACTCGATGTCGACGTCGAGTCTCGGTTCCGCAGCCTCAACGCGTCCCGAAACCACGCAGAACCCGTGCATATTCTCGAAGGTGGAAGAGTACCCATTGGCGGCTCTTTGCTACTGCTTGCTTCCTGCGAACTTCGAGTGAAAGAAGTGCTCTTCTCCCCGACCGCTGTCGAAAAGCCGTCTTGCCCCAACCTTTGCTGGCACCTCTCCACCACGTCTGAAACGTCCATGATCCGCTTACTTTTTCTCAAGGTCACACTACAGCAAGAACAAAATCAAATTTTGAAAATCTAAATCACTAGTAAACAAAATACAAAACCATATGATTGAAGATAGTCGTACAATGATGAATGCACTTCTGTCCTTTTTGAATCAGTCGTGGACATGGGACACAAGAAGAGGAACAAGAACCCACTCACGTGACAGGATGACTTTTCACTTACAACATCCTGTCTCCCTGATTTTTTTATCAAAATCGAAATATCAAAATCGAAAATTTTAACCGGATGGGGTGTCTTTTTCGCTCGAGCACATTTCTCGAGCACAGTCTTTCTCCCTCATTCTTGCCATTTTCAACCTCTCAATCCCTCATAATCTTCTCTCACTCAAAATAGAGGCGGAACACGACAACTGGCCAAAAAAACAGTCCAAAGAAATTCTCTCTTTATAACTTCTCTGAGCGAGTGAAGATGCTCGTCTTCTGTAGTCACTTGTAGAACAACAAGACTAACTCAAGTTTTTAGTAGACTGCGCGTTCAACTACATCCGAGGATCTCACTTTTTAGAATCTAAGAAAAAATGACTTTGAAGAGCATTTAAGACTTTCCCCTTCCTGGACTTGCTGCAGGCTTCATTTTCCTAGAAGCACCGCCACTAGAAGCACCAGTGGTCGTACTATTGTCCTTTTTCAGTTTCACAGGCCCAACTCCAGAAGCTTGCGCCTGTTGAGAGAGTACGACTTTTTGGATGCTTTCGGTTAAGAGGTCACATCTCTCTCGCCAATGAACCAGCACTTGTCGCATTCCATTTATGGATGCTAGATCGTTGCCATCGACATCGCGCGCAACGTGGACCGCAGTTATGTGAAGACAGGCAGTTCCGTGGTCTATCTTCCCACTAATCAACTTGCGCTCCAGAGCATCGCGAAGAACGGTATCGAGAGTCTTTGGAGAGAAAAGGGGAAGATGCAGATAGATTATATCGCTTTTGCTTTGTGCAATCATCACAAAAAATGAAGTAGCAAGAGCCTCTAACCACTAAGCTTCTCTTCTTTCTATTTTTTTTTTCACTCGGTACTTCCTCTACAGTGAGTAGCCGTGTCTAGCAAGATAGCGAAGAATACCATCCTCGCTATTCTCCCTGTGTCTTCTTCGTCCGCTTGTCCTACTATCTCCACCCAACGGCCACTACCTCCGTCATCGATAATGCACAACGCCTTCTGAAGTTCCGCAAATGTTAGTCTCTCCCGTGTAGCTGCTAGCTTCAACAAGGTCAACATCCGAAACTTATGTAGTTGTCCCGGTGTCAATGTTGAACTATTCATGTTTGTGTTTGTCCCCCCATTGCTATGCTGACCTTGATTTTGATGAATCTGAAGATACTCTTCGAGCGTAGGTGATCCCGTCACGAATGCTTGTAGAAGGGCGAACTCAGGAGTGTTTTGGAGCCCATTGTGGAGAGTCGACGCGGACGAAGGCAACAGGAGTTGTTGCATTAGCGAGGCGAAAGAAAACGTATCCTCGTCACCCAAGAGGTCTCCTAACGCAGCGGGTGAGTTTGGGATAGCAGAAGAGGAAGAAGAGCCGCCACCTCCAGCAGCCTCTGTAGGGAACGAATCGACCTGCATCCTTTTTTTCGTCTTGAATCTGTTCTGGTGATAAACTCAGTTCTAGTTCTTCGAAATCTATATGCTCGACGAAGCTTTGTTTACTACCTCGATATGATCATGATCAAAGTTACAAACATGAACGAGTTCTATCCTTATCCAGGCGACAAAAGATAACTCAAACAAGGTTTGTACGCTTTGGCGCGGTTACAAACTTCGCCTCGTCCTCTTGGCAGGGGAGTTAATAGTTGTAAAGATGAAGATCCTGTGATTGAAGATCCCAGAGCATTTCATTGAAATCTCGCTTTATGTCCTCTATTTTCTTGTTCTCCTACTGGCTAATAGAGATCCCCGATACCTGAGATCCCCTATACCTGAGGTTGATCCACCGCATCTTCCATCTTATCTATTTTAGACACCGCTTTTGTCACAAGTAGAACAAGCCGCATGCAAAGAGCTGCTGCGAAAGCATGACGCGCAACCATGTCATAGTCATCTTCACAACGATGGCTGTAATATCGATAGAAGATGGTTACACAAGGACTCATCAAAATCAAATTTTTTATTCACGTTTGCATCGCATGAAACGACGGAAGAATCATGTTGGCAGCTGCACAAGTCACCTGGTTCAATGATGTTCATATTGTGTTTTTCCCAATTTGACAATTGCAGCAACAGCTGAAAGTCCTACTGCGAAGGCTACCACTAGTATCGTGATTGCATTCCCTCGTTCCCCAAACCTCTTCCTAACGTCCTGAATGAAGCGGAGACCCACTATCGCTGACAGGAAGCTGATCGTACCGTAGAGAAAAGCGTAGGGAACGATGATCCGGCGAAGAAGCAAGTACTGGAAGGTTGTGCTGGTACTGGTGAAAATGACACAGCTAGCACTCGTTGCAACAGCAATTGTCGGGTCGACTTGCATGTAAAGGAAAAACGGCGAAAATATCAGTCCACCGCCGATGCCGAAGAGACCAGAGCAGACACCGGCAAAAGTCGCGACGAACGGGAAAACTAGAGGGGGCATCTGCAACTCCGGGCGAGAAGAAATTTGGGACGCAAGAGCTGTGGGACTTACTCTTGAGAGAAGGGAAGATGACCACGACGAACAGGAAGGCGTAGTTCTCGTAGTGCTAGTTGTACTTCTTCTCGAGGATTGTGCCAAAGTGCTAGCAGTAGCATTGTTCAGAGATTGGAGGTGTTGTCGATCTTGCATCTCCTGGTCGTGAAGTGTAGAGGAATTCAAGTTCCTAAGTCCGCTTAACGGAGTGGACTCTGAGTCTGAATTGGCGCCGCGGCTAGAGGAATCAAGAAAACTCTTCCGTTGTAGACGCATCTTACCTCTCGCAACCGTCAAATAAACCCGAAAAAACATCACTAGCAGTGGCGACGGTCCCTGATTTATCCTCCTGTAAAACCAACCTGTAGCTAGCGCACAAGCACTGCAAGGAAAGATGATGCACAGCCACCACGCAAAACTCCCATGAGTGGTATTATGTGTCGCGTAGCCACCCAGAATAGCCGATATCAAAAGACCGCAGAGCAACCCTGCGTCTATTCTCTGAAGGTCTCGCACGATGGCTTTCATTTGGCGGTCTGGAATCTCAAGCTCCTCTTCTCCTAATGACGGACGGCGCGTCATCGTGTTACTAGAAGCAGACACGTGTGGAGGTTGTTGCGTCAAGTCTTGCATCTCAACGCTTTTAGCACTAGGTGCCTTAATATTGTTTTCTGAGGCGGAGCCTGCGGTTGAGTCCTGCTCATTGATCCGATTATAACTGGCATTTATCGAGGCAGTTGTTGGGATCGATGCTGTCAATAGCAGAGGGTTTCCACCTGCACCTCCATGATGTCCTGCTTGTCGACTAATTACAGAAGCTGCTTCCTCTTCTTGATTTTCCACCAGTAGTTGTCTTTCTGCAGATGGATTGCTGATACTAGCACCCAATGCCAATCTAGAACTTGATGTTGCGCTACTTTCCTTCCATTTTTGAATGCCTTGAGAGGTAGTTTTCGTTGCCATGAACGTCAACAAAAACGCCAAACACGTGACAAGCACTGTTGGCGGAAAGATGGCGTTGAAAAGAACTCCAAACACAGTGCCAGCAAGTGCTTGAGGAACAACAGCACGCATCAATGCAAGGTCAGGTTCTACTGTCGCTGTTTTCATCTTGTTCATTTTAGTAGATGCAGCAGAAGTTCTTGAAACCCTAGAAGACGAGTCGCTTTCACTGCCTGCTCCGGCGCCATTTTCATTGTGGTCATCTGCAACACCTCCTCCGACAGCACGGATAGCATCATGGTTAGCTGCAATATTCATCAACAGAATTTTCACTGCGCCACCAAAGATGATCGCCTTCGACAGAGGAACGGCTTGGTGCGGGGAAAGGTCGTTGCTGAGCATCAAAATCACCACGAAAATCCCACCACCCCCAATTCCACTGGCAGATGCGAGAATACCTGTGGAGTGATTCATTGAGGATTAAAGGTTGGAAAAATTATTGTGTCATTTATTTCGTCGTCATTTTTGTTGAAGTGCCATCATGTTGTATCAAAATAATTATTTTGCATCAAATTTGTGACTCGAAACCAGCACTTGTACCAGCCAAGAATATTGCAATTGCTGTTTTCAGTGTCGGCCCTAGTGCCTCGTAGACTATCGCCCAATGCAGCTCGAGGTCACCGCGAACTGACCTTTGATAAAGGGGCGGAAGGTTCTTCTTGTTGTCCTCGTGTTGTACAACTGGGAGTGCGCCTTCTACTTCTTGATGGTTTTTGACATCAACTCCTACTTCGGGATCATGCGTCGAATGTCTCGTAGTAGAGGATGCGGACGCCAATCCTCGATGATCAACGGAGACCCGATTGTCGCCAGGAACCTGATATTCCGTCTGATCGTGTTCAAATGCCGTGTGACGTGCGGTTGCATCTACTCTGATGTAGTCTCGTTGATGATACAGAAAATCGTCCTTATCATCTCTATTGCGTTCGCGATCAGATATGAAGCCCGGGCTCCTGCTTACGTGGACGCTATGATCTCGCTCGTGCTGCTCCGCCAACAACTCTGCAGGAACTGATGAAAACACGACCCAGGAAAGCAGGTGTGAGTAGCGGAGATGACGGGCTGGAATCTTCATGTTGATGTAGCCTTATTCGTCGTGGTCGTCGAGAAAATGCTGCCTCATCCTGTGTACTAGAGCTACCAGCCTCCGTGTTTTCCCTATGTATACGAGAATCCAAGAAAGTGTTTATCACGTGATTTGAAATTGCTATCGAATTGGAGCAAGGTACCTGGTAAAACTACCAGCTGCTGATGATCATGAAGAAGCCCAAGAATTTTGACAGACTGCTGACCGAAACAATAGCTCTAGATCTAGTAGCTCATTTGTGGTCGACCGAATGGGTGGCAAACCATTTCGTATGGACACAGAGTCAGAGTCAACCTCTCTTGATTCCACTGCTCGTACAGAGGCGATGCGCATTCATCAAGAAAGCTTGAACTACTTGAGCGGTTCCATCTGAGCTGAACAAAGCAAGGTCCGAGAATATACCATGGATAATGCAGCACTGGAGAAAGTAGAAGCTCCTGCAGAAGACGAATATTCATCGAATTACGGGTAGTCGGGAACAAGAGTAAAATTCCAAATAAAGTCAAATAGAGTAGGCCAAAATCAGTCCCGATTCCAGAAGTTTACGCTTATGCTTGGCGTCAGAGCCTTCATCGCATGCCACCAGTACTTGGGGATCAGGAGGACGTCACCGGGAGCCATAAGGAAAGAAAAGCACAACGGCTGCTCTGAATCTTCACCAAAGACTCGCAGTGGTGAAAAATTGTAGCCCGCAGCTTTCTTTTTATTGGGTTTACTTCCTGTTGCGGAGGGGGACTGTCCTTCATTTCTAGGCATTTCTGAACCTCGACGTCGCCTTTCACATAGCTGTTCAAGCTTATCGTCATAAAGACCAATTACAGGAACAGCTGAGCCAGAATACTTTATGCTTGGCCTTGCAAGCTTCACATGTTTCCAACCAGTGACCTGCAGATAGATGTTGTCCATCGAGTCGTAGTGTAGGTCTGTTACTGTATCTGCGGTTCCTAGCCAAATGCTCGCGACATCAGCACGGCGAGCCCACGGGACGTCCTTTTTCAAAGACGGGATCTGCTCAAAGAGGTTGTGCTGCGCTATGTAAGCGACGCGATGGGGATATCTAGGATTCCTTCTACCATGAAGATTGTAGCCTAGAAGGTACTTTCTCGTAAATTCCTCAAAAGAAATGAACTGCTCTGAAAAGCGTTGACTCATCTCTGTGTTCTGGCACAAATTCGTCGTCTTGTTGGCATGCTCGCTGGTTTCCACGTCAAGGTATCGCTCATGCTCTTCTTCGAACATCGATCTTAAACCTCTACGCTCTTCAGCATGTCCATCCGTGGACGTCTCGTAGATCTCAAGGGGGACTTGCCGAGGTCCTAAAGGTGCTCGCATCCAGAATTCCAGGTTGTTCCATTTCCGAAAGCATCCCCACGCTTGAACGCACGCAGCGTTCCGCTCATACCTTGGTCCGAAATCCCAAGTAAGGTTTCCCCATTCCATTAACAGCTTTTCCTTTGACTGTGGTGATTTGAAATTCGGCAAGCGACTACTTGTTTTTGAATGTATTTCGCTAAAAAACATCGTTTTTGGAGGGACATCGGGCATGACGTGTGGCATCCTGAAAATTTCTTCACCGCAACATACCTCTTTATGGTCCGATTTCTGTACTCTTAGTCGATCGCAAACACCGTTCGGATCCAAATGTTGTAGAGCTTGCTCAAAAAACGTATTCACAAAAGCCGCTCCTTTATCAGCCGCATTCTCTAAAAGCTTCATGGCGCCAAGATTTAACGCAGTGTCAAACTGGTAGAACGCTTCGGCATAGATGTCTTGAAGTTTTGTGTAAGTCTCGTAATCGTGTGCCGTCAAGTCTAATTCATCTTCACAATGCGCTTCACCTCTGCTGGGCGTATTTATTCTACCCCTAAGAGGAGGGCCTGCCCGTCCATCTTCGAGAGCAAAAATCTTTCTCCGTACTTCCAACATAGACAGCAATGGCATGGCTAGTGAGCAGGCTAGGAAGCAAGCATGCTCCAAATCCGACCGCCATTGTCCACCTCTGGTTAGGAACCCAAAAAACAAATTCCGAAGCTGAGACCAGAGAGGACTTTGTCGGAGATCTGGTTCTGGTGAGAAGACCAAGACAAGCTCCTTACCATCGTGCAGATGAGAAAGGTTATTCAACAGAACTTCCACAGCACCTTCGGCTCCAATTGTAGGTTTTTGCTGCGATATCAAGGCCCTTGCTGTTTCCTTTACCACCGCCTTCAGGAGAGTATGTGCGGAGGATAGTGGATCGCGTTCAGCGAAGAGTCTTCCTTCAGAAGTGGTCAAAAATTCTTCAGGCACCAAGGCGGGAATCCATTCTGCTAAACATTGGGCATACCCCACTAAGTTCCGGTCTAAGACTTCTCTTGTGGAATTTTCAGATGGTGTGGCAACTTCTTGCTCGAGGTCGGTTGTCGTGACAGTAGAAGCAGGTGAAACTTCATGGTGGTCCTTGTTTGCGGAGGTCGTCGCTGGTGGAGCTTCTTGTTGTGTGTTACCCTCCTCAACATCACTTTCCCCGAATAAGCCCCATCCGTCGTCGGCCATCTTTGCTAAAAAATTCTAGTACCTGTACTTGTAATATGTTGGTATCATGCTAACATTACAAATTGTCCACGACATCCCTCCTGTACTAAGAACAGCAATTCGTGAAGAATGATCGACATGAAAAAGGTTAACAGCGAGTCTTCGTCAATCCGGAGCCACTAGAGGATCAAGACTTATACATTTACAAGTTTTGAACAAGATCGAGAGGGAGGAGGCCAGTTTTTCAGAGATCAATCCAAATCTTCCTTCTTTTTCAAGAAGAGCACAGGAACTTTCTTGAGATCTCTTGGACAAGGAGATCTTATGATCTGTTTGCACAACCTTGCTTATGACTTGCTTTCTTGATAAGAATGAACAATTCGAATGCGTACGAAGTCTTGATGCGAGTCTGTGGCGTAAAAATTGTGTCGCCATGATGATGTTTGATGCAAAATCATGATCATGGCGTTTTTTTTAATATGCGTTGCTCAAAAGAACCGTTACAAATCCTCCAATGTCTCTAATGTTTTCTGCAAAACCTGTCTGTATTCACCCACATGTCTCCCCAATGCCTCCGCGGACGTACCCAGCGTCCAGTAAATGCTGTCAAAACAACCCATAAAGGCTCCATTATGCGAAACGCAGGGCAATCGCTGGTTGTTCGGGTACTTTTCGTTACGATCACCAACCAAAGCAGCGACAATCGGAATGGCTCCGATAGAGCCACGACGCATGAACAGACCCACAGGGCTCTCCTCCATCGCCGCACGCCAAATGCTAGTCCGGACAAAACCTAGGACCACTGAGACTTCGCGAGTCTGTTAGAAGACGGGAGTGGTATATCTTTGTCGTTCTAGTAGTTCTAGGTCAGATCATGATGAGGTTAGGTTAGGTTGTGGATCCTGCACATCAAATAAATGATGAACATCAAGGACTACATAGTACAAGATGTCGACAAGAATTTCTAGCTATATTCATTCATTTTCATTTCCGAAAATTCATGATCCCTCTGCTCAATATTTATTATAACAGTCATACAGACTATCGTCCATCATAACTGTCACCACTTCCCAGTCCGACTCCTGCCATCTGCCAGTATTTTACTCGGGCGTAGCCTGCAACAACGTCTGCCAGAGCAGCAGGGTTGCTCGCAAGTTGTAAAACATCGGAAAAGATAGCACTAATGCCTTCCTTATTCTTCTCAGAGGTCACAAGTTTTTCCTTGTCTTCATTCGTCTCGTCTTGAAGTAGAAGTTGGATAGAGGGCACTGGTTCAGGACTACACATCTGAGGTATGAGAGCACCCCCATTTTCAAGAGAACCAGCAGCTCCAGAAGGACCCGAAGCCGATCCACCAGATGATGGAGAACCTGCTGATGTACCAAGAACTGCAACATGAGCCATGTCCAATTTCTCCCTACTCGCATGAGTCAAGAACGGATTCCAACTAGTTTCGACGATCCTCCGGATCCACGGTGTACAGGCTAGCCATCCCGTTGCTGAAGAAACCGTAACTGTTTCAAGGTCCAGAAACTTCCTCTCCAACGCCCGTTGCAAGACCTTATGCGCAACAAACATCGCTGCTTCTGGTTTCACCATGATTGGTGACGTCGAGTCTCGTAACTTAGAAGAAGTATGTCTAATATGACTATGAGTGAGTCACTTCTCATTTAGTTTTACCTTGTAGGGCTGGTAGTCCGGGGTCGCGGATGCCTTCTCGACAACACGTCGTCCTTGGTTAAGGATTCGGATAAAAGTACCAAGGTACTTAAATTACAGAGCAATTTATAAGGCTTCACAGCTCGCATGGCATGGAGTGCATGGATCACATGGAGTAGCATGGAGCTAAAGGGGGAGCTTCTTGCGCCCCTTAAAGCTCTGCGCTCCATGCACTCCATGCTACTCCATGCGTGCTATAATAAACTACTCTGTTATTAGGATCACTATTTAACTACAGATACAGTAGAGGTAGACACCCCTCACCCTTAACTAATAGCGCTGTCCCAACAGATTGTGGTCGTCCACCGCCTGTGCCTGAGAAGCCAGCGTTCGCGACAAGGAAATCCAGTTTCATCTTAGGAGTTCCACCAGAAGAGTCTCCAAAAACTTTCTCAACTTCCGCTTCAATTTTTTCCTTGCTTGCTATGCCCATGCCCAGTTCAAACGAAAAGGAACAATGGAGGACCTGCTCGAGGTCTTTGCGGCTACGGGTGACGGCCTCTTAGAAAGTGAGAATCATTATCATGTTGCGTCTCTGACAGCCACTCTCAGAGAGAAGAGAACGTTTTACGTTACTTTATGTAGGTACAAATAACGCATCCTCGAACGGCTTTGCTGAGGGTCGCTCGCGATCATTGTCAAATAAAAGACTCCTTTTTAAACTTGAAGCAGAAGAGAACCGTAACTCTTATCCTTCTCTATCCTTCCCATGATGGTGTCCCGAGCGTCCAGGCATTTTTTCTGGCTGCGCGTACCCAGGATCACGTTGTCAGCCAGTCCCCAACCAGCCGCCCAGACTGCAGTTTCCAACCCCAAGCCTGAGTTTGCACCTGTTATCAGGACAGATTTTCCCGCGAGTCGGCTGGTATGTGCGTAGCGTTGGCGCAATTCCGTCTCCATCGGATCATCCAAAGCCCAATTGCCGAGGAACAAAACCAAACTGGAGAAAATCCCAGAAGTGATCAACAGGAAGAAAAACATCCGTGACGAAGATGTTTCACCAAATGTTAGAGCTCAAACTTCTAATTCATTTCTTGTTGGAATCCCTTCAATAAATATATACTCTCCCTCTCCCAATAGCAATATTTGTCCTAAGATTATGGAAATTAATAGGGATAAATGACGTACTGTAGGTGGAATGAAATACATTGCGCCTTAAAAATGATAAGCTCGTTAAAGTTGATGTCGACACAAAAAGTCCCAAAATGAGACTAGCTGTCGCGAGAAGGCCAAGTCTGCAGAAGGTGAGGGAAGCTCCAAGGCTAAGGCCACTCCTGTCCTGCAACATTAGAGCAGCCCCTAGCACATCATCCCTGTACTAGTGATCCCTCGTCAAAGATGTTATCTCTCGGATTGATATCGTTGATGACGGATCTATATATACAGATGATGAGCTATAGAAATGGGTAGCTCGGATTTGTAGTATCCTTGAGGGATCTCTACGTCTACGGAAGATGGGCTATAGGTACTTAAGTAGCCCTCTTAACATTATCGTGTGGTGCTCCCCGCCAACAGCAACACCAAGAAGGGAAGGGATATCATGGAGTAAGCAGATGAGTTCGGGCAAGCGGATGAAGACAGAAATCCCTATCGGAATCAACGCTACCGGAACGAGGAAGGCCCAGAGAAGGAGGGACGGCGAGAAGAACGTGGAGGACTTCATGATTTCTTGACGATATTTTAGAGGAATTCCTCAAGGGCACTTCGTGTCAGTTTGAAGCTCGGGAAAGAGAGTAAGTATGATTTAGGGAGCGAGTGGTAGAAGATGAAATTGAGCTTGATTTTGAATTTCTAAGGTTCAAGGTTTAGGGTCCGCGGCTCTGCGGCCAGGCCGCATCGTCCGGAACGATACAGATATAGATCTTGAATTTCTAACCCACAGTGACAGACTTACGTTACACTTCTTTCAAATCAAATGCTCGCATTAAGATCTGCGTTAGTTTGTTTCCGCTGTCAGAAGAAGTACTCTCAGAGTAGCAGCGACTCCCTTCGCGTTGATTCACCTAGAGGGCTCCATGCAACGCGTTGCGCCACGCTCCGTTGCTTCCAGGATGACAACAATACATGCTGGCGTGATCCCATGATTGCTTATGCCAATCGTGTAATTCTAGTTCAGCACTTCTGAGATAGTGCTGCGGTGAATGTGTATATGAATGTGACACGTGGAAAGCATCATGAGGACGAGAGTCGTTCTTCTGTTTCATCATGTACATGTTTGTCAATGGTGCGGGACTGGGAGACAATAGGGACTGGGAGACATTGTGGGTATTAAGATAGTGATGGATCGCTATATTGAAGAATATTAGATCAGTGAAGAGTCGTGTTTTAAGCAGTAAAGATAAAGTGAAGAACGGAGTTGATCATCAAATTTGCCCACCAGGAAGTATAATAGAACTACATGATCTTCTACCAGGAGGTTGTACGACCAGAGATACAAACACATTGAATCTCGATGGCGTAGTTCTTCCCAGGAGGAGAAGCATGCTCATGATCAAGATCATGTTTCTGATTGACTACGTACCTCCAGTGGAACGAAGATAAATCACAAATAAAATGAAACAACTTCTCCTGGCTCATCTTCGGCCCTTCTTCTGCTCTTTTGCTTGAAGCTCAGCTTTCTTCTCCTGCAACTTTGCGCGTAAGCGCTCTTTGCGTACTTCTGGGTCCTCAGCAGCTGGGGCTTCGTTCTTTCGCTTTTGATGCTGTTGAGCTTGCTCAGAATCAGATGAGTGCTGCTGTTGATCTTCAGATTCTGATTGATTCTTGCGACGAGAGGTTTCTTCTTTTCTCTTTGAAGGCTTGTGGTCTTCCCTTGATACAGAGGAAGATGGAGGTCCTTTTTTACTTTTGTTTTTCTTTACCACGGGAGCCGGCTCGTCACGCTTGTCTGCTTTTTTCTTGATGGTTACACGTTGACGTGGCGGTGGCTCTTCGTCATGAGACACCATGTCATCAGCATCACTCGCAGAAGCATCACGTCTTTTTTTCCTGCTTTTCGCAGGACCTTTCTTCAACGCCACGGATTTACTACGCGGCTCATCCTCGTCTTCACTGTGATTCCGAGATACAACTTCGCGTTTTTTCGTCACCTTCACTGCTTTCTTCTTTGGCGGCAGCTCCTCCTCATCCTCAGACGGCGGTGATCTATCACGCCTCTTAGAAGGAGCTATCTTTTTCTTGTTTTTGGAAGCATGTCGGTCCTCGCTGTGGTCCTCGCTATTGTCCTCCGAAGGAAGAGACTGATGGTCTACAACTACTTCAGAGTCGCTCTGGTCCCCTCGACCTCCACGACGAGACTTCTGCTCGTTCTTTTTGCTCTTCGTCCTCTTACTAGAGATCATCTCCTTACTACGTTCATCCTCCTCTGAATCAGAGTGGTCGACATTTTTTGCTCCTCCTCTACCTCGACTATCTTCCTTGTTTCTGCTTTGCTTCTCCTGTTGTTTCTCTTTTGGTTTTTCTCTGCGGCCCCGTGAATCACCAGAACCTCTAGGTCCTGCTACTTTGCGGAAGTCCTTGTCACCAGCATGATCATCTACTTCGTCAAGATCACCACGATGTTGATCTTCGTCTCTGTTTTTCATCTGATGTCCGCGTCCACGTTTTACCAGGTTACTGGGAAGAGGACTGCCATCTTCTCTACTCCGACTGTCATCACGTTGAAGTTGTTTTGGAGCACCATCACGACGACCTGCGTGACGATCATGATCACGGCCTCTCGAATGATCTCGTCGTTCTCTACTTCGTCGGCGAGAGTCTGCTCGCCTACCGACACCTCCAGCTCTGGTATTGTCTCGCTCTCGTGCTCGTTCTCGATGACTATTGTTTATTCTACTGGCAGCCTTCTTTTTTCGTTCTTCCTCTTCCCTAAATTGTCGCTCGTCCTCCGGATCTCCCTTCGCAGCCCAGAACTGCTCGCGACGTTCATTGCGCCTCTCTTCCATGCGTGGCGCACCGATGCCTCTGGCTTCTGCGGTGCTGTGCAGTTTGCGTAGAAAGGCTTCTTTCTGATCTAGCTCTTCGCGATCGGAATCCGATCTATGATCACGATCCTTGTTGTTACGATCAGACGTAGACCTGTTGTAGTTTGCAGCACTTCTATCCACCGCGCCGCCACCTAGCGTACCGATCATCCAGCCGCCGCCCATACCACCATTTGCTGAACCATCACGGCCACTGTTGTTTCTGTCACTACGACCATCTTCACTTCGATCATCTTCATCACCTTCTTCGATTGTGCCCAAGTCCAAGCCTTTAGCCTTTTCCACCTCCAACAGGGCCTCCAAGCGTTCCAGCTCACGCTCACGTTCGCGGAGTTTTTGTTTCGCAGATTCACGCAGTCTTCGTTCATCCTCACGAGTACGGCGGTCGCCATCCTCAGCCTCGCGTCTGGATTCCTCTAGGGCTTTTTCCTTCTCGTGCGCGGCCTTGATAGCTGCCATCTCAGCTTCCTTCTCGGCGATCAAACGACGACGCTTAGCCATTTTTTCCTCTTTGGAGAGGAAGCCGTCGCCTGGTAGATTTTGGCGAAGGAAGAGGATGATGTGTGTGCCTGAGTGTACCTAGGCCAATCACTAGTAAGAAGGGAGATTAACCAAAACCATTCAAGAACATCTCTATCTATAGTGTAGGAGTTGTTTCATGATGTTGTTGAAGCTAGCGGTTGTAGGATTATCAAGTAGGTACCAATATCATGTCCGAAGCCCATGCGAAGTGCTCGGCCAAATTTCTCCAGCTCTTGTTCTTTCCTCAAAGCCGTGCTATGAGAACTTGCTTGGTTGCCAAGACCTCCTGTCACGCCTTCTCGTCGGACGCGCGCTGAAATTCCCTCGCGCTGTTTCTCTACCTCTTCCTCGATTTCTTCCTCGGTTCTGATGTGGATAAGTGATGGAGGCGGTTTGGTGAGGTAGTTCGTTGTGAGGAGATGAAGACGAAAGGGAAATCAAGATTTTCAGGTTCATCTGTGAACAATTTAAAACTGTTTTTATCCTTTCTTCAAGAGCATGATGAAAAAACGAATCAAAACAAGCAAGCAAGCGTGATAAGCACTTTCCCTTCTCCTCCAAGTGTTCACGGAGTTCTGCCAATTCCACCTCAACTTTCCGCCTCAAATCGTGCTCCATCAACTCTGGGTTTGCCTTGCGAATCAGCACACCGGCACTGGCAGCATTTAGCGGTTTCTGTTTTTTTGTGGTTGTTGGCGTGGAGAGAGGTGCTGATGGCAGATGAGAGGTTGTGCCTATTTTGGCCAGAGACAGACATTGGACTTAATTTGAAAATTATGAACGAGGGTTCTAGAGTTTCTTTTTCTGCTTTTTTAAACTACTGAAATGTTGCCATGGTAGTTCTAGATCAAAAAGAAATCCGAGAATACCTTTGGTCCCAGGTCTTCTCTTTTCGGTTTTTGGTGCGCCAAGTTCCTCTGCACGTAGCCGCTGGTACCGCTACCGCGGACCGTCGACAGACCTATTCCGTTATACATTTTCTTCTAGACGTGGTGATATGAAGGATTGACTAGAAGCAAGTAGAACTACAACTAGGAGTGATACAACGGAAGAATCGAAGAACAAATGTCAATACGAAGATACGACGACGTAGAGAAGAACAGGTAGAAACAAATTATCAACAAGGCTAGGGGCACCTCTTCGCTAAAAGCAAGAGCGAAACACTAAGTCATGATCCAATTCAGAAGACAATCTAGGTTTCGTAAAGACTTCTATCTGAAAAGACAAATTTATGCGAGATTGAAGCGTCCATGCGAGATAATCCATAGAAGATCCGTATACGCCATTGAAAGAAGCGGCCCTGTCTGAGACAAAAAATTATAAAGACTTCACGGAATAATGGTGTTCGTACTCATTTCATTCCACAGCTTGATCGACCAAGATCCTATTCTTTCATCATTTCTCGTTACAACCAAATTCAGATGATGTTGATCTAAGAAATAGCAATTCTTTCTTTGAATTGACCTTTTGTTCGACGATCTGCGAGGACTGATCTTCTGAGAGTAAGATTCGCATTTGCACGACCCGTCCGTTTCATTTCCGTCCTTGCACTAGAACTAGGATTCTTGAAGACATGTTGAAGGTACTGGTGACCCATTTGGAATTCTCCAGTATGGAAGATCTTCGTCATTTCATTCTTTTGTTCGTTCAAACAGGTCTTTAAGAGCAGACTCGATGAAGTCGCTATGAGGATGAGCGCGTGTGGACTGAACAAGATAAAATGTGACAAAACAAGGTGTAGGTGTAGGAGGAGATGTAGGATTCAAAAATTTAGGGCAAAAGGAGTTTGCTCTCGGAGCAGTAGAGCATGGTGTTAAGCGCCAGGGTGAAAGATGAAGAAGAAGAAAAGCAAATCTAAACAAGCGAGGGGTACTTATAACTACACGGGGGCGCGTGTGGGTTTTCTTGGAAGGTAATAAACGGGGATCGACATAAATGCCCCTCCAGACACAACATTCGAACTACTTGATATAAGATGCAAATTTAGACTTCATGATTCCTAGAGCAGAAATCGACCAAAACTTATCTTCAATACCTTCTTGATTCTCACCACGATGGAAAGCCTTATGATCGTGATCATGTTGAAATCGAAATCTTCTTCATTTGTCGTCTTCATCCCCTTCTAACTCTAAGTCGATAATTTCTACCACATCTTCTCCACCTCTTTTAGACTGTGAAACCTTAGGTGTAGCAACCTTTTTAGTTCCACTTCCACCGGCTGCACCACCTTCGTTTGGGAAAAAGTTTGCTGGATTTTTTCTCTTCATATGCGTTGGCGTATCAGAACTCAAGGGAGTAAGTCCGCCAATTGATGCGTCTCGCAGCTTTTGCGCCCTCAAGACGAAGTCAGCGGTGGCTACTGATGAAGCAGGACCGCCCTTATCAATGTTGCCGCTGTTTTTCTATTTAGAGCTGATCACTATAGGTACATTCATTCCCGATCATGCTGTTCGTGATGAAAGGTCTGGATCTTGATCTCAATACACGACTTCTCATGCTTCTCATGCAGTTTACAGTGTAGTGTTAATGAATCGAAGGTGAAAGTCGATGTCGTAACAGCACTCATGTCAGAAAACGCCAATGGCAACTGCACCTTCGGCTGATATCGAAAAACCGCTGTTGGCGTTGATGCAGCTGGTGATTCGATGATCGAAGTCCTATATGGTTTACCTATATCTTCATTAGATATAGTAGTTGCAGTGGCCTGGTGCTGGTTTTTTTCAGCAGAAGCTCCTCCTGCGGGTGCGGCAGGTGGTGATTCGATAATAGGTGGCTCGCTTCCACAACTCCTACGTCGAACGAGTTCCGCTGAATTGATTTTTGCCTCCTCTGAGCCTCGCTCTCGCTCCTCGTCGTTTGCGTAATTGTGATATGCATCCATTCGGTATGAAAGCTTTGGGTGGAAAGCGGGTGAATGGTGCTTGCAAGAAGTAGATGGAACTGCATGATTATTATTAGTATTAGCAGTAGTGTTCAAAGAGATGCAAGGCGAAGGCACTGTAGTAAAGAGTGTTTGTATTGAAATGATGGATCTACTTAATATGTGACCGACAATCATCCTTCCTGATCAGTATTCCGGTCTTGTATCGTCAATCATCGAATCAACAAAAAGCAAGCGGTTTTATTTAACACTACAGTGCACAACATAGCCCAGCGTGCCCAGCACCTTCCCACCGTCTATAAAGCCACATCAAAAATTACTAATACACATCAAATGAATAAGGATTACCTATAAACTATTCTGTTGAAAATATAACAGCAAATACAAAGACAATGACATTTCTCCATCACATGTGGCATAATTTCGACAACACCACACTGGAATGAATTCCACAGGTTGTATCGGCGTGTCGTTTCAAAGTACGAGGCTTCTTCTGCTTGTTTACTGGTTTAGTTAGAGGTAGCTTTTTGGTGCTTGCTTACCCCGCTTTCTATGCCTTTCTCATCCTAAGGGAGATGAGAGGCATAAAAAGCGGTAAGAAAAGCACCTTTAACCTACCCTTAATTTAGGAAGCGGAGAAACCAGGTTGCCGCACGCTGTCTCCTGACGTTTCGGCGACTCCGCAGAACTATCTTCGCTGGGACGCGCTATGCCTGTGTTGTATTTACTCGTTGTACTAGTCGGAATAGTTGGAATGTTGAATTGTGTGTTGTATTTACTCGTTGTACTAGTCGGAATAGTTGGAATGTTGAATTGTGTGTTGTATTTACTCGTTGTACTAGTTAGAATGTTGAATTGAAGTATAGCACTGCTAACCCTGTACTTGAAGTAGGAATCGTGATCTGGTCCTATTTTTAATGTACTAAGGTTGAGAAGAGAAAAACAGACAGTGCGGCTGTAGTATGCGAGCGTAATGTAGTTCGATGTAGCCTTCGTAAACTGTTCGTTGAAGAATTCAACTTCACCACCTGGCATAAGATGAGTTCACTTGTTAATCTACCTCCAAAAGCTCCAATAACCGGATGCTTCGCTCTTGCGTCCTGGGTCCACTCCTTCAGAGCTGTTGTCGTTCTCGTAAGCATATTGATCATATCCTCATGCGTCATACGATACTTCAAACGGCCATCGGGTAACGGATTATCTTAGAAACTGATGTGCTAGTTGTATGTGCGTGATCTTGAATGTTAATGATCCTTCTACTTTTTACATTATAAGGTTAAGATAGAAGTAGTAGTTGTACATCCCGTTCCTGGAGAATCTCTTTTGGGTCCATTGATGAATCCTCTCCAGGATCGAAAGATGGATTTTTAAGTATAGGATTTCGTCGTGGAGAGGTTGCCTTAATTCTTCCAGTCCAATGGTGGTTGCCAGAAGACAAATAGCGTTTGCTGCATGTACTTCATCTTATCGATCGCACGCATGACCTCTGGATCAAACATGCTGCCTATCCGATCCACTGTGTCACGCCCAAGACACATATCTCCGCGTTTTCCGTCTAACATCAAAGAACATTAGAAGAAGGCGAAGAAGCATTCATTCACTTACATCCCAAGGGGCACTACTTCTAAAAATATACCGGCCCTCCATGATAAGCGTAAGTATCCATCTTCTTTTCACGATCTGGGTCTTCTCTTCAAAATGGCACTTCTTTCAAGAATTCAATATGACTCTAACTATTTCTAACTAGCTCTAAAAATAGAGCCTTAAGTATACTTCATCGGATTTTCTGCGAGAGAGCCTTGATGTATAGTCGCATGGATCACCTTGAGCTGCTCATTCTTGAATATGTCTTTCGTAGGAGGGTCATTCACAATCATGTTTCTGATCATCTTGGGCTCGTACCCTTTGCGGGTTAAATCTTCCTTCACTTTTTCTTCGGGAAATTAGACGAAGAAGTGCAGGTGCAGTGGTACGAGTCGTGGCCACTACCATGTGCTTGTCTTCATTGTTTTGATTTCTTCTACTCTCGTCTCACGCAATCGCATCAAATAAAAGACGAGATGATAATAAAGAAAGAAATAGGGAAAAGGGCTAAAGCCGTAAACCCAATTCGACCACCAGGACCAACTCGTCGCCACTATAAAAATAAATGTGCTAGCCTTAATCAATATCCCCTTTATTAGCCCAGCTAACATCGACGATGCCTGCATTGCGCATTAGGTTGCGAGCTTGTATCGTACTTCTATACATCTGTTGCGCTTTCTTGACATGCTCATTGTCAGTGTATAGACAGCCAGAGACATGAAAGGAGCAAGCGCGCTCACACTCAAGCAATGATAACGAACTAATTCATTGATTGGCATCCCTAGTAGTACTCCTCGACTACCAGCGGGACGATACAATTCCACAAGTGTACTTACCTCGATGAGCGTCCGTGGAAGAGGATTCACAAGTAGGAAAGTAGCTATTGACTGAAATAAGCGAGTTGACACTACTGAAAATAAAAGCGAGATACTGAACAAGGAAGAGTAGCCCTGTCAGAGCTACTTACCTCCCTTATTTCAGTCAGTAACTCGGTTATTTCAGAAGTTTATCGAATAGTCTACCTCTATAACGGCCGTGAACTAGGATTCAAGTAGGAAAGTAGCTTCTTTTCAGTTCTACGAGTATCAACTCTTGAGTGTGAGTGCACTTTTGCCTAAGAGACCAGAGAGGTAACCAAAGAGTCTGTCAATTGCGCATACGCGACTGGATCAAAGGCTTCAGGGGGATGCAGTTTCGCTGCTTCTGGGATAGTGCAGGGCTTTCCGTCTTTATTCACGAGCTTCACTCCTTGAGTAATTAGAAGATCATGTTTAATAGTTGTACTGCGACACCAGTATAAGGAACAGGATTATATTGGTGGTACTTAAACGGCGACACCACCGGTATAAGGAACTACAGGATATTGGTGGTTGTACTTAATAAACGCTTATTTTAAACCAGTATAAAAGTTGAGAGATCCCCCGGCGCCTGCTGTAGTCAACATAGTCATGCATCTGCGTAAGTAGAGCTTCAGTATTGACTCACGCTCACGCGGTCTTCAACGACTCTTTCGAAAAACCCGAAATAACTTCTGTCACCACAGGAACCCCCATAAAAACCAAGATACAAATATGAAGAGGCCATAAGGACAAAGTATCCAATATTTCCAGCATGTGCTGTTCGATTTTCTTCGTCGTGCGATGCTGATAAGCGGTCTTATGAAGGACTTGTCGTTGTTCAAAGAAGTCTCTTTGTAATATCTCCGCATCCTTCCGCATAATTGCAATCGTGTTCAAGGACACTGGTTTTACTGAGTCTAGCCGTTTTTGCTCGGAAAGGATTAGAGAAGGGCTCACTGGATTTGAAGATGAAATATATTTTATTCTTCGATAAAGTAGAAAAGTTCACGGCTGCACCTGCACCCTCGAAAGCATCCCGATCAAAGACATCGTCAAGGCACAACCTTAGCGTCATAGCTATTCGTCTCTTCTAAAGACGCTGACTTATCAGAATCTTAGACGCCAGAATTGCGCCTCAATCTGGTTCTAATTTTTGTTTTTTGTTATCGGACTTCTATTAGAAGTGATATATTGCCACGACCTCCGTTCATAACATCGTATTGTACTGGTACGACGTCAGCCTGGCGTTTTCCATGTACCGGGATAAATCAAACGCCGTCTTGATACCTAGGTGGTAGCAATCGCGAAGGAAATAGTCGAAGCGATCTACATCTAGACCACAGCGCCAGTTCGAGACTATCTCATACATCCAGGCATCCCGGAAGTCACGACCCTTTATCAAGTTGGGCCACTCGGTGTGCAGTGTCCCGCTCTCGAGGTGTTGTACCGATTAGAAGTGATTTTTGCTCGAGTCGAGGAATAAGTAAGTATATGATACTTTCTAGATGAAAGAATTATTGGAAGAAGTGGTCTCCGCGCTTTTTCTAATCAATGTCAATAGCAGCTAGGTGGGAGAAGCTGCCAGAGATACAACAGGGACTGTACCTACTCTGTACTGTTGTTAAAGGGAAAGCTGCATTTCAGTATCTAGCCTTAAAACAGTTGTTTTTTCGGTGGGTTGATGAGCTCCTTGATGAAAATGTAATCCCGGTCCACCAAATCGCATTCCGCGAAGTCCTTGGAATTTGCTTTCAGGTCCTTAAAAATAGCATCGCAAAGGAGCAAACTTGCATCCTCGTGCGTCCACTTGGGTTGGCTGCCTGCACGTGCTCTACATCCGTCCTCACTCAAATGCGGAAGGACTGCGCGGATCTGGAGGATGGTTTGAATAATAAAGATGAAAACGAAGATCCATCCTCTTCCCCTCCTCATTGCATCCACCAACTAGTCGTATCCGTGAGAGAGCAGTACCTCCTAAAGTCGTATCCGTGAGAGAGTAGTACTCTCTCAGAGGATACTGGAGGTACTCTCAGAGTACCTCCTTACTGTAACTTTAAGTAGAGAGAGTACCTCCTAACTCTATAACTGTAAGAAAGTAGTACCTCTTTCTGGCTTTCCTTTTGCATCCTCTTGTAGATTCGGTTCATGAAATCCTCAAACATGTGGGAAAACGCCGGATGTCCAATATCGTGCAACAATGCTGCGATGCAAATGCAGAGAGCATCTTTATCACTGCAGATCTCGCCTGGGGGTAACACATCTTCATCGTTTGATTGGGAGCTTTGGCTTTTGGCTTTAGAGGGAGTAGATGTTGGACGACTTTTTCGAATGGACGACTACCAATTTTTTGAAAAAATGGAGTACCAATTCTTGGGTAGTATTATTTGTTGTCCACACCTCTAGGGTAAGGGTGTGTCATCCAAACCACAATACTGGAAGTGTGAAGTAGTCGACTAAAACATGGAAATTGCTTGTGGATGATGATGTCGAAGAAGATGTGTCATCCACAAAAAGGACCCAACGACGAGCGTGTAATTCTGGAGTGCCAGCGGAATCAGAAAATTCCAAGACGAGTCTCCTCAAAACTACTCCAAGTGTGTTATTTAGGTAGCTGTACAGTCACTAAATCCATGCATAAGACCGAGATTTGGACCTACGAAGAGGTCTTGAGAAGCCGCGTCTTGGCTATGCTGAATCGAAATATTGCGATGAAGTTTGGGTGCTCCTTGCATGCCTGACATGCCATCGTCATGGTCGTCCTTGGTTTAGAAATAGCTTCAGTCTTCCTTTTCCTTATCCTCATATGATATCTACTTAGCATGTTTCGTTCTAGAGTCACGTATGAGGTGCTGACAAACTCAGACTCCCCTGGATCATGCTCCTCCAACACAGTCACTTCTCGTAGTTCATCGTTCATGTGCCATCAGTGCCATACTTATAATTGTTGCACGGGATAAGTCTACGATTGTGATCAAGGTGAAAACTAACCGGTTGTTTTACTTAGTGCTTTGAGCGCCGCAGGGCCTAAACCTTCACTATATAATATTATTAACTAAAACACCATAGTAAGTATTACCAATAATTAGTAATTAGCTATAACTAAAAAACCATGAAAATTAATACGATCTGCCTTAACCAAAAGATACACGCCTAGCCGATGAGGATTCCTGACTCGAGGATGCCTCACGCGAGATCCTTTCCTCATCCTCATCCAAACCCATCAATCGTAGAGGTTTCATTTTCCTAGAAGCATCCTCATCGTCGTGTGACGAAGAATTTTCATCGTCGTCTTCTTCTTCTTGTGTTGTTGGTAACTGGTGGCCCTTTGCGCCTCTTGTAGAGCTACTAGACAGAGATCCCCCAGTAGCGTTACCTAGAAGACCATTCTTAGTGTTCGGCGAATTCGATATGCCATAGGCTGTCCCAGCTTCTCTTCGCCCTCGAAACCTTAATTTTTCCAACAAATTGTAGGCCAAGTAAGCTGTCCCAATGCTGTGTGCAAAACGGGTATGAGTAGCACCAATGTAAACGTGTTCGCACACACCCAACTGTTTGATCTGTCGCATGCGTTGAAAAAGAGGGTGGTCAATGAACTGTTTCAACACGGCAGGCAAAGAAATGGTGCCATGGACGGGATCGTTGGTACTGAACTCCTTCATCAGTCTCGGGCGCCGCTTGGGTTTGTTCTGGTGGTGTCCAGATGCTGCTGAAGATGACTCCCTCGTCATTTTCGTTCTCGTTTCTTCGATAGTTATTGTTCGTTGTCGCAAAGTATTTGAAATAATTTGTTCGTTAGTAGAAAAAACGTACTAACACGACTTTTGTAGATCTAGATTGATGAAATACTTACTTACAAGGTCGTCAGTATAAGCAAAACGACGGACCTCCCTTTTTTCTTTCCGCTAAACAACAGCAGCATTTTCGATCATTCATATCATACAAACAATCTCATGAATCAGACTCAGGGTCGTCGCAATACTCAAGTACGCAAAATTCAAGAGGGGCGGGTGGATCAAGCTGCCAAGCACAAAAAAGCGTTGCTCCCTTCAACAAGAGATACTTGTTGTCATGATCAAAATCCAGAACAGGAGGTTACATTTACAAACATGAAGATGCGGGAAGAAAATCAAAATCTTTCATAAAGATCTTTTACGCGCTTACAACGAGCAGAGGCCGAAGCTCTTGAATAAGAGGATCCTTTTTGATAGAGCAAGAAGATGAGTCATGGAATTACATTGATGTGCCAAACGGAGTCGGAAACGCGAACACAGCACGTGCCGGTTGGCGGCATATCTCGAGGGACGAGGAGTACTTGTTCGTACTGCCTCGTTGCAACATGCAGCTGCCCTAAAAAATTTTCATTATACCCGCCCATTTCTGTGATTCTCAGTTCACTCACCTGATGTGTAGATTCCTTTGCATTTCCACGACGTCAGTTGTGGTTCTCTATTTGATGAACAACCGGAAAAAACAAAGTAGTCCAGCAAAGAAAAAAAAAGCGATCTGGTGCTAGAGCACAAAAAGGATAGATTGATTGGATTCGAGAAAAGAAAATTGTGATTGTTTCTATATATAATGTAGATGGAGTTCTCTTCTTACTAGTTTTTACCCGGGTTTCGTTGTCGCCACCCTAGAAGTCTAGGTTTGTCAAAAAAATGAAGGTTCTGCTTAGTGTGCAACAAATTGATATCTTGATCCGCAACTTCATCTCTGTTTTGCTCACCCTACTTGAACGCCGAAAGTCTTAAATGCTTTGAAGCACAACTCCCCAACTCGCGCATCTGGCAGAACCAGTATCAGAAGACCATCAACACCAAACATGAAGGCTGCTAAACGCTTTTCGGCATCGGGAATCTGGAGGAGGGAGACGAAGAAGAGAAATATATATCTATGTATATTATGCTAAACGCTTCTCTGCGTCGGGGGGTCTGGAGGAAGAGGGACATATAATGCTCACGACTGTCCCCACAACGATGCTGCTGCAGTAGGATCAATACCATCAAAATCGAGCCCCATGAACGAAGGAATTCCTCCCACGTTCAGATGTCACTCATAAACGAAAATCACGCACGAGAACCAACGACCACAAGAAGAAGTATAACTACCAAACTTCTAATATAGGAAGCTAAGTACCTGTGCCGCTTTGGTCGCACTAATTTCTTCGCCTAATTCCGCCAAGACTTGCGCTCCTTTGATTACGCGGTCCAGCTCAGTGAGCAGAAAGTTCATAGATGCGATCCCTGATTGGGCTGGTGCCACTAATTCGATACTGCTTGGAGCAGATGTGGGACTACTGCGTAAAAACTTGATATATTTCCATTCGAGCTCGTAAAACTGGTTGAATACCTGTGGTTGGAGTGAGGACAAGAAAATTTGATTGACAGATGTTCTAGTTTCGGAGGATAAAGTTGAAGGGTCGTAAGATTGATAAAATGCTTGATGTCGAAGACGAAGAAAATCGACCTAATTCTAACTAATAGTAATACATTGCAAAGGTGCTGGAGAGTTTTCTAGATGTTATACTTAGTTTCATCTGTTACAAACAACTACGTGAGTAGTTGTTGTAACACGTACTCAACACGTCATCGTCCTCATCATCTTTATGAATAAGTACCTGCATCAACACTCCTTCTTCTAGAAAGGCATCACGAACTTGCTCTACGTTTTCGAACAAAGCTCCTCCAGTTCCACTACTAGATGAGGCGCCTATCGCGTCTTTCTTAGCCCCTGGCGTCACTTCAGGTGGATAATCGATGTCCACTCCGTTGAGAGTATGAAAGGAGGTAGGAAAAGTGGATTGTTAGGAGGTGTAAATGGGACTCTAGAAGAAAACGTCTAAAATGATTAACGCGCATCAACAAGACTTGATGTTGTTCTTCTACTTGCTCGAGTAGATTTTTATTCTTCTTCACATGCTACTTGCCATACTTCTTACGCACCTGCAAACTTTAACTTGAACTTGTTTCATATAAATATTATTTTTCCACCATCGAGCCATACTTCTTATGCAGCTGCAAGCTTGTTTCTGGTTTCAAGTGTTGTTGGGGTATGAATGGCGGCGCCCTCACACTATCTGGAAGGCTATCGAATGTGCCCGTTAGGTGGTCACTGGTCCTCGCCGGACCACCTACGACAGACTCTTGATCAGTCTTCGGTGCTGGGGGTGGCACAAAGGGTGAAGGAATAGAAGAACCAGTTGTTCGCGTGCGTGTTCCCTGTTGATGGAGTTAGAAAGAGAGAGGATTCTTGAGTCGTCAACGTAAGGGTCGTGAGCACAACTAGTAGTCGCTTTCTTCCTTGCCTCAGATAGAATTACAAGTATCGGTCTGTATTGAAGTCCAAGCCACAAGACCTACGTATTTAGATAAATAATACACACCTTGATGTGCTCATCTGCAGATACGATGAGATACGACATCAACTACAGGGTTCTTGTCCCATTCCAACACTTCAACTTTTAATGAACGACTGAATGCATGAATTTGCCTGGCAAGAGGTGATGCAGAGTTTGCCACAGTAATTAATTAATTTTTTCTTCCCCTTCCCTTCTTCTTACTTGTTTTGTCTGATGTTAAGTCTTTTCGTAACTTGCCATCTGCATCCCAAAAGCTCCAGTGCCAGTTGACAGATTCGTAGATGATCTAGCCCCACCTGTCTGGAATGATCCTGACACGAAGGGACTCCTACCAGCACTACTTGTTCCTCGTCCTAGTATCGTAGAAGAAGACGCATTCATCATTCCTGTTGCACCACTAGAAGAGTGTACGAAACCTCCCGTTGTATTCGTTGGCATTCCCGATCCGTTACCGTAAATCCCATTGCTGGAGAGACCATTATTGAACTGTTGTCCAGTGTTCTGCTGTAGAAGCAGGCTGTTTTGTTGTTGACCTCCTTGAGGCTGAGGCTGTGAACTCCCAAGTCCACCATTGTTGTAGTAGTTGTTGTACTCATAGGGTGGAGGACGTCCTGGCGGTGCCCCTTTACCTCCACCATACGGAGGACCTTGTTGACCATTTCCATATGGTGCCGCTGCTTGTCCTGCTTGTGGAGGTGCGCAGAGATTAGAAGAGAACCGTAATGGTGGCTCCTTGATACTAAAAAATTAACAATTATGTGTGAATCTTCAAGTAGTATTACTCAAGCACACATATTGCAAATGCAAAAATCCAAAAAAGATTGAAAAACCCTGTTTAACAATTCCTGCTGCTCGCGGAGTATATCCTGGTGGTGCACCGAACGTCAAGTTTGCCGCCAAACTAGCACTACTTGTCGGTACAAATTGACTTCGATGGAAGGGTTCTCTCTTGTCGTTCCGAGCATGGTAGCAGTAATGCTGAACCCCTCCACCAACGTCTTCTTGGTATGCTGGCGCGCAAAGAGACCCTTGAGCTTCGAGGGCATGCTCGTATCTGTTGAAGGGAACAGAGAGATAGAGATAGTTTGGCGGTGGAAAGTTGTTCGTAGTGCTATTTTAAGTCAGGACGAAGCAGCAAGCACGACGGTGGAGAATAAGGATAATTATGTGATTTCAGAGCTTATAAACCTCAACTACCCTGATTTTTTGTGCTGAATGATGAATGATGATGAAACGTTACTTATTCAAGTACTCACCTTGTATGAGCAATGATAAGACCTCCTATGCAGCTCCTTGTCCAGAACGAACATAACATCGCGCACATACACCAGAAAAACATCGTGATATATCACCTCGGGTACATATGAAGGAGGGAGGGGGGGCAAATGCAAATCATTTTTTTTGATTCTTTTTTGATATGAACAAGGAGGTCGGAGGATCAGATGGGCGGGGATTATCTAAGGCGGCAGGTGGCATGAAAAACTAGTAAAGAACGAGAGTTTTATTTACTCTTCGGTTTTATTCTAGTTAAAAAAAAGGGGGTTCAATTTCACATCATAACAGTCCATTTATCAGCAAATCGATGCCCATCAATGTCTCCTCATCGCCACCGTCTATATTATCGATGAATTTTTGCGTTATGCTCATTATGTCTGCTTTGTCCACGAACTGTGCTGGCTGCTTAGCTTGCCCAGGCGTTGGGAAGCTGCCTGAGGGAAGAGAAAGATGAATGCTGTGCCCTGTATGTTGTAAAAAATTAACAATGAATAGGTCTACTTACTTCTCAATTTTCTTGATTTTCCGTCCCTACTACAAATACAAAACACAACTGCATCAGTAGATATCAGCCTCTCAATCATTAAATCATACTACACCTGCTCACGTTTCAGTTTCATCTAGTACTGGTAGTAGTTGTACCTTGTGTAATCTGTCCCCACAAGTAGTAGCATTCTTGTTCCAGGTTCTTTTTGTTGCCGAGGACACCTTGAAACTTTTTCTTGAGCTCAGCCAGTTTGAGAATGCGCGCATCATTCTCCTCTTCTCGAAAGAGACAGAGACCCATTTTTTCGATAAGAAAAAGCAAGTATCAACAATCAATAATTTGACCGTAAGCCTGGCTGCTCGTCACATCCGGATACGCTTCTCCTCGTGGCGCCAACGGCGACAACTCGTCCAGTAGTTGTCTAGAATTTTCTTGATTAGGTGTAATGTGAAAGGTATTCTCAATTACTTAATTGGGCCAGAGCATTCGTGTTTCTCTGAGTTCCATCGCAATCTAGAATGCATCCGTTATACCTACCTCTTTTTGCTCTTTTTCGATTATCTGCGCACTGCTACTTGATTTTTGTCAGTAGTCGATTTCGTAAAAAATGGATATTGACAGAATTGTCGTTTCTTGACTTTTGTCTCTGTCTATTGATGATGTCTGTCTCTCTCTTTTCCATTTCCTACTCGTGCACCCTCTTCAGCTTGTTAGAGTTTGACATCAGTGCTGAGCCAACGACGCGCTTTCTTAGATGAGCGCCCAAACCTCCTTGTAAATGGGGCTCAGCAAGCGACTGCCCAGTCGTTCTCTCTTCGTCTTGCTTCTCGCAGACTTTGACATTGCGCTGATTTCTTCTAAAAGAAGACCATGATCCTGCTTTTCTAGTATAAAAAAAGTTCTTCGCTGTAGATTCAAAAACCTTCTAGTCGTCTATCCACCCACTGAGCAGCTTTATTGCATCATAAGAAAACAGGAACAGCGCTACAAGAATTCTTGAATGAGCTATTTCCAACTCGAACTGTTCATCACCTCTTCTACTCTCCTTGACCTGCTTGGTTAGATAAATATCTTCTGTGCGTCATTATATTCACTTCTGTGCAAGAGTCTTCATATTTGAATCAGAATCGGTATCGAAAACGAAAAGAACTTGTTGGGATAGATTGCTAAAAAAACTCGACTAAACAAATCAACACAACAAAACATAATGTTTGAGTTAGAGTTGTCCTCGTTGTCCATGTACATGTACTCGAGCCTGTCGAGGAATAAGAGAGCATCGTGTGATGCTAGAGACCACAACGTCCATTTTTTGGGAGCAAAAAACATTAACTTCTACTTTTTGTTCTCCTTGCGGGAGCAGCATACGATCAGGATTCGTCACTATCGTTATCGTACATACAATCATCACCAGGGTGTGTAGGTGGACAAGGAGCACCAAGGAGACAGAAGGTTTTCATGATAGCACCACGACCGGTGCCTCGACGTCCGCCAGTATAATCTCCATTCATTCCACCTCCACCAGCATCACCTCCACCATTACCTTTACCTATACTAGCAAAATCCTTTATTTCTCCAGAAGAAGTAGATGTTGTAGCGAATTCTAAGTTTCTAACGTGATAGCCGTCAAGATCACTACCTCCTAGCTCATCTGCTGTACTAGTCGTATGCGACGACGAGAAGCCTGCGGCTGGCCTTCTAGAGGTCGTCTTCCTGCTCTTGACCTTTTCACCCGGTGTTGACCACGTAGGACGCAGCGAGCTCTCCTCTCGAGGAATCGCGCCACCGCGAATCTTCTTACGACCACCTTCATGTAGCTGGTAGTACATGTTGCTTCCAATTGCACTTGCAGCACCTGAAGAAGAAGATGTTCCTCCTCCTCGGACACCTCGAACTTCTATACCCCCATACCCAAATCCACGAGGATTTGCAAAAGCAGATGCGGCTTTGGACGAAGAAGAGGAGTTGTTGTTGAAGGTTGATGTTGAAGGTTGTGAAGACGAGGAGGTGGAGCTGGAGGTAGTTGCTGGTACAATTATACTAGAGCTAGAAAGGCCTCCGCCTATATTAGAACTTGCATCTTCATCTGCCCTAGTCCTGCCACCTGGAATTTCGGTGCTGTCTTCAACTTCACAAGAACTAGAAGTTGTAGATCGATGAGATAGATGAATAGGGGTCTGACCTCCACCACCTGCTGACACGTCTTCGATGTTGGAAGATCCTGTTCTTGCTCTTCTAGAGGTATCATGATGATGCCGAGTTTCTCTACTACAACTAGTGTTAGTTCTTGTTGTGCTACTTTTGTTCTCCTCTTTCGTAGTAGCAGTACTAGTAGAACCTCCAACTACATCGAAAAAATCATCCCGCATCACATTCCATTTGCTCCCGGGATCGAAGAGATGACTCCGATACTCCAGTAATTTCTGGGTCAAGTAAGGATGTGAAACGTCGCCCACATCATCCCCACATTGTCGTAGCAGATGTCGTTTTCGTACTTGCCTGTGGTATGCGCGGAGCATAGGAAGAATTAAACTCGCTTTGCCGCGTTTTTCTGCCAACATGAAAGGGCTGACACCATGTTCTCCCTTCGTTCGCTTAGTGATGTGGCGGACATCCACAGCCGATTCGCACAGGACGGCAACGACACTTTCATGTGAGTACTCGACTGCTGCGTGAAGAGGCGTCTTCCCATGGCACGTCTGGCCTTCCAGACTGGCGCCACATTGGATCAAGCGTCGTACTAAACGTACATTTCCGCGCTCGCAGGATGGATTAGACGAAAACCTTAACATCAAGATCGATGCTGAACTTGAACCTCTTCCACATCGCAGACACATTCATCATTGCACCTTTTCCACATCGCAGAATCAAAATCAATTCACACACTTCCACAGACACACACTTCAGCATAACAAGATACAAGGCAGTTTTTCCGCTTGTTAGCGCGATATCAATCTCACGCAGAGTTTCAGATGGTGCGTTCTTCAGCAGATACTCAGCAGCTTCAGTTCGCTCATTCAAGACGGCAGCTAGAAGGGGGGTCTTAGCAACATCCCGCTGACCCTCTAGTGTCCCATTGGCACCTGCAGTGGGCGGTGGCGCAGGGATTAGAGATAAAATGAAAGGATTGATACATTTACATATTGATTCAGTTAACGGAGTATTTAGAGATCAGACGAGAATGCGGATCATAATTTCTCAGGGTTTTCTGGAGATCATGTAGTCAAAAAGATGATCATGCATGAAGATGAGCTTCTACATATTCAGAGAAGGAAGCTCATCATTTCGACCTCCCTGTATAGATTTCTTGCGCTGGTGTCTTCATTGCAACGGCTACGCCTTTTCATAAAGCTACCACCTGGTGTTGAGGATTTTGCTCCACGCCGGCTATGCCAAGTTCCGCCATGTTTTGTCTGTTCACAGCCATAGTCCTTAGCTCTGCTTCCACTGCGCGTTCGTAGTGGGCCCGGATGTCCTCTAGAAAATCCAGCACGCCCTCTTGCTGTTGCGCTGGGCGTTGTTGAAGTTCGTGGCCCAGCAGATCTAGGATTCTTGGCCGTGGAGGTACGCCACCAGCTGCTCCAGCTATTCTGCGGTCACCAGGAGGCGGAGAAAAGACAAGACCAAGCTTGTATTCTACCATTATAGGGAGCAATTGCATGTCACCGGCTGCACAAACGCTCATCAGGGCTCGTCGAGCTATGGTGCCGCACCTCTCTTCTTGCGGAGATATTGCACTTGCTAGAAGCCGAAAGGTTGCGCGTCGATCTTCTTGTTTCGTAAACTTGTTTTTATGAGGAGATGAGCCTGTATGCGACGTGGAAGAAGATGATGTGGTACAACTCGTATTAGTTGTAGTAGATGAGGAAGTTCCTCTAGCTGAGCGGCGGCTTCCTCCAGCACTCTGTGGCCGTTGCCTCGTCGACGGATTTTGTTGTCTTTGTCGATTTGACAACGCGCTGTTGTAGGAGTCATCGTGGCCGCTGAACTGACCTGCTCCGCCTGCTCCTGCGTCTGCCGCGAAGGCTTTCAAGGGATCTGTTTCAACCAGTTGCTCGAAATCCTCGTCTAGAAGCGACCTCGTGTCTACGGACGACACTGATCCACACCTTGTAGCTCTACTCCTACTGGTTAATGTTTTTGGTATGATCGATGATACAGCTGTTGAAGGCCGATCCTTGAGATTTCTAGAAGTAGAACTTGATGCAGCTCCACCACTAGATGTTCCTTTTGCGGCTATGCAGACTTCCAAGGCACACAGCGCCTGTCTTCCTGGCTCCACCTGCGGAGGCTCAAAGGTGTCGACCCGCAGAGGATCCGCACGAAAGTCCAGCAACAAAGCGCATGTCTGCGGAGCGTGAGAACGCGCCGAAGCAAAGAGTGGAGTGCGTAGTCGAGAAGTGCACAACATCTCTACGAACTGCTTTTCTAGGTTTCTTTGCAGATTTTCGGCAGCACGAGTCAAATCTTCAGCAGTTGGCTCAACTACAGCAGGTGCTACTACTTGTATAGTATGTTGAGTATCTGGTGCCATGCCACCTGCCATACCCATTTCCACAGCGCGCTCAATAAGCGGACCACAACGACCTATGAGACGGCGCAAGTGACCTCTAAGAGCGTCTAAAAGTATCCGGAGCATTTCTCGTTGCCCACTTCGAGCAGCGATGTAAATCGCAGAGACACACTCATGCTGCGGGCGACTACCGACACCGTGTACTTGTGGAGTTGATGTAGTTATTCTTGTGTAGTTATTTGTGATGATGCCAGTACTTGGATCATCTGCTTGATGTAGTCCTCCTTGCGCTGCAGTTATTTGCGGCCCCCCATCGAGGACAGCGTGTGACTGTGCTTCGTTTACTCGTGCATCAACATGCTGTTGTTCCCCTTCCAATGTTGATCGCGTTGCATTATTCAGTTGAAGATCAAAGGCAATAGATCCACCTATTGTACAAGCTGATGACGTTCTTGTTCCACCTCCCTTCGTTACTTTTGCACATCCCGTAGAAACAGGGCCGACCAGCGCTCGCTCGCTCGGAGTCGGAAGCGACACTGGAAAGAGCTTGAAAGTATGTTGGCGGTGCCCTCTTTTGCGGCAATGTTAGAACTCACTCCGATCCATCTTCTCCCTCGTTGTCCGTTGGTTTCTATTTTTCTACTTGAAAACAGCTTACAGATGGCGCGGCGAAAGATGTGTATCAAGTGAGGCCTTAACAATAACTACCTTCGTGATGTTTATTGGTCCACAAAGAGTCTACGGGCATCGCGCGAAAACTCTGAGGGAGTTCGTTCACTGCCTCAGCAACGACGGTAAACACGTCCTCTGCCTCAGGAGGCATTGGCTGTTCCTGCAAGCAGTCGTAAGCATTAAGCCAGCATCGATCGTTATGCAGTGCCGAAGGCGAACCACGATGCAGCAATAGTGCCAAAGGCGAGACTCGAAACTCACTTCCCAGGAAGAGAAGTCCATCGCGCACCCGCGAACCGAACGCGCCGCCGTCTGCAACCCTCGAAGATGCACTGGAAAGGTTTTTTCTTCTAGATGAAAAGGATTCCGGTTCACCTTCACTTCGTACCGCAAGACCATCCTCTTCTTGATGGTCCTCACGACTTCGAACCTGAACAAGCTGAGCTTCTTGATGAAGATCAACTTGTTGATCTTCTCCTTCCTCTTCCCCAAGGCCACGACGATGAGCAACAAGTGCATCTTCTTGAAAGCAGAGAGCACGACGTACGTAGTCTTGAAGACCATGGGCCACCGCCCAGAGGAAAGCGTCTCTTTGCAACCAACCGAACTGGACTTTTGTGGCGAGAAGAATCAACTCTTTCGGTGCTATGCCACGAGGCACCGACTCCCCGAAGAACTCCGCAAATCCGCGTCGACAGTGCACGTCGATGGTGCTACGCATAAACCGACTGGCACGTCGCAAAATGAGCAGGTCTACAGCGTCCAAGAAGGACACCATCACACAAACGGCGTCTTCAGCAACATCCTCAAGGGACAACTCGTGCGCCATCTCCTCTGATGAAGCAGATCTTACTCCGCCAACAAGAGCCCTACTTTTAGCAAGTTGTTGACGTGGTCCACGGCCTCGTCCTCGGAGACGTAGGAGGTCTTCTTGATGATCGAAGTGCAGACTAGCAGTAGCAGTACTAGTTGCAGCTCCTCTACTTTGTACTAGCTCGTGATGTAGTCTCTTGTAGTAATCTTCGAAAGTCGACCGTCGCGAAACAGGAAGATTCCCATTCCGATATCTTTCCGGCAACAGCCTTCTACTTCCCAGGGATGAAGAGGTGGACATCTTCTTCCTTCTCTGTTTGGTATGATTCCAAACAAACTAAAAAAACTCAATTCTTGTGAGCCTGTACTCCCTCGAAGAACTTTAGTTCTTGTTAGAAGTCTTAGTACTGTTATATATTTTTATAATAAATATTATCATTGTGATTTTCTTTATAAATGATATATGATCAATGCAACAAGTCATCTTTCACCATTTGTCTAAGGAACGAAAGGAAGATCAATATCTAAAGACAGCGAGTCTATTGTTTTTTCTCGTTTTTGTTATTGTCTGTCCATATATATGTTTGTCCAATTTCTCTATAAAACGAGGTTTGCTTTTTGAGAGGAGAAGAAGAATCTTTACCCCAAGCGCGAGGAGGTCGACAGAATTACCATGCTACTCTCCTCCTCCCCGCCTCTTGCGATTCATCTTCCTTTTTGAAGTTGTAGTCACTCTCAACGATCCCGCTTTTTCCTCGAGTCAGGAGGCAGTCAGTCTTCAGTCAGTCTTCTATCGTCGCTCAGTCGTGATTCGATGTCAATCTCTATCAAAATTCGAAAATCGAGTTCGAGTCTCGAAAATCTGAATCAAATTGAAAATCGAAAATCCCCTTTCAAAAGGGGAAAAAAGGTGTAAAAAGTTCATGTCTTGATAAGTACACGCGCCGAAGTTTGCTCTTGGCTCAAGCAGTGGTGCGATCGGATTTTCAGGCAACAACATTCAACAACAGGCATAGCGCCAAAGTTGACACGACTTCATCGCAGAAAACAATGACAATCATAGATGCTGGTGAGAGGAAATTAAACAGTAAGAACTGATCATGATTGCAAAACAAGTTTCTTTTTAGCTCTCATACATAGAATGAAGGGGTAAGCACTAGCGTCAAGCTCGACTACAAAACGTCTAAGAATAACGTATGAAAAAAATCTTCATTTCCCCCGTCCAGCAACACAGCTGCAATTACATCGCTGTGCTTTCGCGTCATCACGCTTCTTGGTCACATTTTCCTCGTTCGTTCTGCGGAATCTAAAAATATGCTGTTCCTCGACTTCTTCATCTTCTGCTTCCCCTGCCTCCACTAGAGATAGGCGGACCGCCGCCGTCATCTCCGCTGCAGAATCTCTTGCAGCTTCTTCTCGCTCGAATCTTGTCGAGCCAGCCCCTAGCGATGCACCAATACAGCGAATCGCGTCGTGCCCAGAACGCGGGGTCGCGCTCGCACCTTGTGGCGATGCATCAACACTCGTAGCCGGATCATCATCATCATCATCATCATCATCATCATCATCATCATCTATTATTTGGCTCTCCATGAGGCCCATTTCCTGACGAGTTAGAAGATGAACATCAAATAAACTTTGAAGCGAAGAGAACAGTGCCTAAAATGAGCGAAAATCTTTAAGAACGTGCACGTCGTAATCAAATTGTTTCGACTAGAAGTACATGATAGCAAAGTTGGCCTTGTTCCTCATAAAAGGAAATACGAAATAGGTGACACTGGAAATGGAAAGCTTTGTATCTTCAACGTGCGTTGTTCTAGCTTCCTGTACAGGTGCATCTGGTCGTTCTCGTTGCGGTGATGTCATCGGATATTGATTGAATAGTGGAAACAGAACAGTGTTTTAAGATACACCCTTCTACTCTGATTATTAAGTACCTCTATCTACTACTTACAACACAGTCATAAGAGCGCGGACTTCTCCGCATCGGAATTCACCGTCGACCCTTTGGTAAATGGCCGCGGCCGGCACCAGTTCTGTAGCGTTTTGCGCTCCAAGCGGAACGCCGGGGCATTTCTGAACATGTCGAACACGTAAACAGGATGCGGGGCGGCGCCCGGCCCCACACAAAATTCCCAGGCAGAGAGAGACTGGCTAAACTTTTCGCAGTCTTCGAACATCTTCTGAACGTTATACACGGTACGTGAATTCCAGACTCGCCATACCGGCTGGTTGAAACTCCTGCAGCCCTTAAACATTCCGTATGCCCTAACGACCTTCGAAACAACCCACGACGCGAGTGGACGGTTAAATTTGGAACAGCTGTGAAACATGGCGTTCATCGTGATGGCAGACGAGGTGTCCCAGTCGTTCAGATCCTGGTCGAATTCGCTGCAACCGGAGAAACATTCGTTGAAGCTTGTCACGCGCGCGACGCTCCATGAACCCAGTGGCCCGTTGTACCTGGAGCACCCGGCAAAAGTTGAGTCCAAATTTGTCACATTCGAAACGTCCCACGAGCTAAGCGGTGCCATTAAATTCGAACAACCCGAAAAGGCAAAGCTAAGGTCCCTGACATGCGACACATCCCAGCCTTCGATCCCTTTGCCGGTAAAGTTCTTACACCATCGAAAGAGGCCCCCCAAGTTCGTCACTTGCGAAACGTTCCACGCTTCAAGAGACGCAGTGAAGTTTGTGCAGTCACTGAAAAAGCCCGATAAGTTGTGTGCTTTTGACAAATTCCACCCCTCGATGCCTTCCCCGGTGAACTTCTCACGACACCCTTCGAAAAGGCTTTGCGCATCTGTGACCCGGGAGACGTCCCATGCTTCAAGCGACGCCGTAAAATTCGAGCACCAGGCAAAAGCGTATGCAAGGCTCTTGATCTGCGACACATCCCAGTTCTCAAGCCCTTTCCCGCTGAATTTAGTACAGCGAGCAAAAAGGCGACGCGCGCTTTGCACATGCGACACGTCCCAACCGGCGAGCGACTCGTCAAAATTTTCGCAACCGTGGAAGACGTAGTCGAGGCTGGTCACCCCAGAGACATCCCAAGCCCCGAGTGGCTGCCGGAAAGTCGAACAGCCAGAAAACATCCCCCGCATATCACGGACCCGTGAAACGCTCCACGATGCAAGCGGCCGCGAAAAGTCTACTTAGAGCCAGCTGCTAACTAGTCGCTTTATTTCACATACTCGCCCTGGATGATGGAAGTCTATAACAGATATAATTCAGAAATCTGCCTAAGATTTCTCTGGCGGCTTCTACCCGCTAGCCTTGCCTAGCCCGTCGCTGGATTGATTGTCAACGGTCTCGCGACTGTCACTGCTGTTCCTGGTATGGAGTGACTAGCACCCACTCGCATTTACATACCTACTTAAATCACAAACACCTAAATGCCTCCACATCCCAAATAAAACTACTCTACTCTTTATGCTCACATGATCCGCCCCCTCGCTTTTCTTTCAAAATCAAATGCGGCGAAGGCATTTTTTAACGAGAACAACAAGGAGGACAGAATTATCATCATGGAGTAGAGCCATATCTGCGACACCCATAGAACATTTCGCGCATGCTTGTGACCTGAGACACGTCCCAATCTGCGAGGTCGCTGTCAAATTTTTCGTTGTCCGCAAAGGCGCAGCTCAAGTCCGTCACACCGGAGACCAGCCAGCCGCTAACATCTGGGGCCGCAGACACGAGCCCGCCCCAATCTTCAAAGCGGAAATCGAACCGCGACTCCGAGAAAAGATAAGAAAGGTCCCTCACTTCCGAAACGTCCCACGTGCGAAGCGGCCCGAAAATTTCATCGATCCGTTGAACTTCTGCGGGCGCCGGTTCGTGTCTGACATTTATTCTAGCGCCGCCACGGTGGTGCCCTTCCTCTTCTGTGGCAGTGTTGTGGTTCTGCCCATTGTCGAATACAGGGCTCGTGGCCGCTGGGAGACGAACACTACCGGGCGCCTTCATATAGATGTTTGTGTATGCCATCATCCTCATCTTTTTCAGCAAAGCATCGTCAAGCTCTTTACGCGAAGAAAACGCACGAAAATGCCTGACGACAAAATCAGCGCAGAGTGTGATTGCTTTCTCTTTCTCATCTCGTGAAAATACCGCTGCGATCTCTGTGCTGCTCCTCTCTCGAGCTGAGGACCCGGCTCCATCTGCTGCTGGCCCTGCTGCTCCAAAAATACTAATTCCTGCAGTGCCTCCCTTTTCCTGCATGGCCGACGGCGTCATATGATCGCGCCCCGCAATCAGTGACCCACTTCGTACCAGAGAAGACGACCTAGGCTGGGAAAATGGCTCACCGCTATCGTCCCGGCTAGTCCGAAGTCGAGAATCGTACAGCTCTTCAGACTCCCAAGCCTGGCGTTGACGATCATTCTCTAAACGCTGCTCCGGCGATACATACGCCCACGCCTCTCGATCTAAACTACTACTCTCCTGGTGCACATGGACTTCGTCCCCCAGCTTCGTCGTGCCTTCATCTCCTCTGGCATCTTCGTCTCCCTCTGCGGAAATTTTGCTCGCCGACGCCACGGGCTCTGGCTGAAGAAGCTGGATATGTTCCGCATAGCAGTGCTTTTTTCCGTGCCGTCGTCTCAGCGTAGATGCGATGCCATAGCGGATGTCAAAAATAGAGGCTGTAAGTGCTCCAACTTAGCGCGGACAGTCCTAGTAATTAAATATCCCCTCCATAGGTACTAGAAGAGGGACTGTTAATATGCCCTCGACTACTAGTAGACGGACTTTATTCATTGATTGGAGGGAAAAAAAGGTCGAAGGGCTTTATGATGATATGCCCAGCGCGTAGGCGGGTGTGACAAACACAAACACTGCATCATGATCATCTAATTTCTGAAAATTCCTTGCAGCTAACAAAATAACTCAAAGCTAAAGTAGTACAGGATTACTTGGAATCGACGCCCCTCTTCAGGAGGTCGACTTGCTGTATCTTCTTTAAAGTAGAGAACATGCCAGCTGTTACAACAAGATGAGTTTTCGCATTTGAAGGCACAACATATAGATATACAGCAGGAGTCTTCACGTTCACAGTCAGCACTGCCGCTACAAACAATATAACAATTAGAAAGGACATTATCTTTATCCAGAAAAGAAAGTGGTCTTCTTCACAGTCTCTAGTTATTACATGATAAATTACCAATTAGCGCATTATCTTTTTTCATCCACGACAGAAGAGTGAAATCTTAAGAAAAAAGGCCATGGCTCCCCAACGCAGGCGCGCCATTTCGCTCTTCCTGATCCTGCAATCGACCTCCACTATTAGAAGTATGAAGGTTCTTTTTTAATCTGATTACTTATATTTATAAGTAGCAGGAGCTTTCATAGGGTAATAGTGGTGCTTCCAATTTCTTAGAACCAACTACTTCGTGACCTATGAAGATCTTCATCTTCACCTATTTGGCACTTGCGCTTCCTCGTCTAGGTCGAGTCTACTATCATAGCTTCTCCCCTTAGCGCTTCAAACAGCCTCATAGAAAGTAGCACACTCCTATTTTGAAGCACTATGCTCTTGCATATTGTGCTTGTAGTGGGTGTGAATATGAAGTATGTCCTCAGCCTCTTACGGCCGCTTCTATGAGTTGTATTCATATTATAAGTTTAATATCATGGTGTTGAAGTGGTCGATTAGCAAGAAGGGCTCTTAACAGTGATAGCGGCATCTTCTTCTACCTGAAATTGTGTCACAGGTTCAATTTCAAACTCTTCACCACTGACCGCGTTTCGCGCGACCACCCGAAACTTGCATAGCACGAGTGAAGAGGCCGCGGCCGCGCGACGCTCCGCAATTCTATGAAAGTAAGGAAGATCGTGTAGCTCTTTGTCTTTCTCCAAACAGGTTGGTCATAGGCATCGAGGACCATCACAGCAGCTGCCCGTTATTTTTTTCATCCTACAACTTAATACACACTATGTCACAGCCTTGGATGTGTCAATATAAGGTATCAATTAAAAGGACAGTCAGCCGCTGCTCACAAAAAGATGGCTATCGATCTGACTGACAACAGGTGGGGAAATTTCTAAAAAATATATCCTCCCTTTCCATATACTGTTGTCCCAGTAGAAGCAACACCAGGTCCCGATGATGAGTCGTTCTTTCCTTCGTTCTTTATTCCTTCGCACTTTCCTTGATGGCCTGAAAATCTTGGTCCAAGCACTTCCCCGAAAATATTTTTCACAACTTCCGGAGGAGGTTTTTCATCATCTTCGGCACCAGGTTGTGAGAAAATTCCGCCACCAAAACTTCTGCCAATACTGTTCTCGCGTCCAAAAATATTCATGTCGTCATCCCCAGGAGAAGTGGCGGTAAAGAGTGGCTTATTTGGTTTGATCGCAAACAACTCTTCAGTAGATTTAGAAGCACCACCAAAAATATTCACCGTCTGCGCGTCCGACATCCCCTGCTTTTGCATCCAGCCGAAGCCCGTTCCGCCATTGAGAAAACCCTCGGAGAAAAAGCTGTTAGACGGCTTGTTCGGATCAGCACTATGCTGCCCATTCTCACCAGTTAGCCTTCGCTCCTCAGTTGTAACCACGCCCGCAGGAGCTGCAGGGGGAGGCGTCGAAAAAAACGGCACAGCGACATTTTTACCTCCTGTGGAAGAAGTGACCGGCGCCTTCTTCTTCCCCGCTCCCTTACTACCTGCTCTCCTTCCCGGTGGATGCCTTTCGTCCGCTTCCCAGCCGAAAAACATTCTCTATATCTGATACCTAATTTCTAAACACAAGTGTGGTCAAGTGCTCTACGACCTCGCAAGCAGATAGCAAGCTACTAGAACTAGTGATAATTTGTTGTAAATCTTGTAATATATTGTTTGAAGGGCTAAGCCTATAGAGGTAAAAACTAACCGGTTGCAAATCTTCTAATATATCATTATATATAGTGATCAGTTGACTTTTCATCTGCTTGTATCTTCTTCTCCTACAGAAAAAACAAGAGAACTAATTATATGTGACCGGTCGTCTTCGGAAGATGTCAACGCTGTTAGACAATAACATCACTTTTTTTAGACCCCGCAGCTCTAAAATTTGTTGATTGTTGCTCGTACCAAAAGTGACCAAGCATCTGCGACTTTACGATTCATATTCTGTGCGTAAATGATAATGCTGACAGGCAAGTCGTTCAATACGATGGGAAACGATAAGTAGGATAATCAAAGCAAGTACTTACGATCTCTAGTTGTAACATCCCGAATAAAAGCAACAATCATGGACAACGTTGGCAACCTGTATTGTTGAGAAAAAAGGCAAACTTTCATCATCAAAGAAGTACCTGCGAAGGAGAAGATTCTGCGAAGCAGAAGATCATGAACAAGGACGAAAGCAGAACAAGCAAGTTGCGTAGAACAATCAATTAATTGGAACAAACAAGAAGATGATAGGTGGAATGAAATAAACTCAGTAACTTTACTCAGAAATGAATAAGTACATCAAGCTCAAGTGCTCAACAACACTAGCTAGGTTAGGAGGGGACGCCGAGATAGACCATAATCACTCAATGCACCGACAGATCTTGCTATCGTCTCGTTCTTCTCACAATAGTGAAGTGGACTACAGAAGAATCTCTGCTCATTCTTTTGCTTTTCTCCTACAATTATTTTGCACCAGCAGCAGTGGTTCTCGCCTCGTCCTCGTTCTTCTTGTCATCATCTTGGCAGAAGCACTCTCAAAGTATTGGGAGTTCTCTTCACAGATGCTGTCACAGAGACACTCACTCTCCGTCTCCTGTGATTGGACTTTGCAGACAACGAACAGGGAAAAAGCTACAGATGACACAATTTCGGTTATATGTGAGGTTACGTTACGTTATGCATCCTGCACATCGAGCCCTCCCGGAAACTTAACTCGAATCCGAGGATGGGTAGGAGCTGAATTTACACGAAAAACAACGCAGTCGACGTACGCTTCCGCGTAGGTTGCAATGACAATCATAGATGCTGGTGAGAGGAAATTAAACGGTAAGAACTGATCATGATTGCAAAACAAGTTTCTTTTTAGTATGAAAAAATTCTTCATTTAACGTATGAAAAAATTCTTCATTTCCCCCGTCCAGCAACACAGCTGCAATTACATCGCTGTGCTTTCTCCTCATCACGCTTCTTGGTCACATTTTCCTCGTTCGCTCTGCGGCATCTAAAAATATGCTGTTCCTCGACTTCTTCATCTTCTGCTTCCCCTGCCTCCACTAGAGATAGGCGGACCGCCGCCGTCATCTCCGCTGCAGAGTCCCTCTGTGCAGATGCAATGCTTGCGTCGTCGTCTACAATCTGGCTCTCTTTGAGACCAAGGAGTTGAACGATTAGAAAGTAAAAGAATTTAGGCTAAAAAATAATGATGGTGGTGAAAGAATGGACTAGATTCATTGATGTAGGTCGTTTAGTAGCTATACGGCCCCTGCAATTAGATACTGGGAATAGCCTTATTATCGCACACGCTAGCGGGTTCAATGATGGAGGAGAAGTACTAGGGGAGAATGTTCGTGAAATATCGTAATAAGATGATGATGAACCTAGGACTTTCTAAGACCAGTATTTCGATGGAGTGAGAATGTAGTGAAAAAATGTAAAAAAAGTCATATTGTTCCGAATCCGAGATTTGTCGAGGGATGTGGTCTAACATAAAATAGACCTACTATCTTTAGTACAACTCGACTCTATGCTCGAAACCTTCTCCCTCATTTGTAGTACTAGATGACTCAGTCCCTGTGTGGAGGATGGAAGATCATTATGATTAAGATTTCGATTTCGTAACCACGCATCTCTACCTAATTAGCATCAAAATAGGAAAGTGGCTAATGTAGAAAAAGACTACCTCCTGTCTCTTCATTACAGGTAGTTTCCTCCATGAAAATCTGGTGCTGTCATCGTCTTGTGCAGAAATGCAACTCAGAAAATTCACGTACATGGTATGCTTTGTTTTTTTGTAAGTACTTATGTCGTCGTGGTCCTGGTCGGTGAACACAGAAAAAAATGGAATTAGAATCTCTGAGTAAGTCCTTCAAGTCTTAGGAGAAGGCGCCGCTCGGGTTTCCGGCGTGGTACGTTGACGTACGGCCACCATTTCTGTAGCGTTTTGCGCATCAAGCGAAAAAGCGGCGCATTTTCGAACGCATTACTGTAGCAACAGCGTTCAGACCCAAGCTCCGGCAACCTCCAGCTAGAAAGTGAGTGGCGAAACTTTTCACAGCCTGCGAACATCCAATCAATGCGCCGAACATTGCCCATCTTCCAGTCCGCTAGTGGCTGGTTAAATTTGGAGCAGTTTTCAAACATACGGCTCATCACGACGGCAGACGAGGTATCCCAGTGATTCAGATCCTGGTCAAATTCGTTGCAACCGGAGAAACATGCGTCGAACCTTGTCACGCGCGCGACGCTCCATGTGCTCAGTGGCTCGTTGTACCTGGAGCACCCAGCAAAAGCTGAGCCCAAATTTGTCACATTGGAAACATCCCACGAGCTAAGCGGTGCCATTAAATTCGAACAACCCGAAAAGGCAAAGCTGAGGTCCCTGACATGCGACACGTCCCATCCCTCGAGCCCTTTGCCGGTGAATGTCTCACACCCAGAAAAGAGGCCCTCCATGCTCGTCACCCGTGACACATCCCACGCTTCAAGTGACGCAGTAAAGCTTGAACAGTTTCTGAACAGGTTCGAGAAGTCATGCGCTTTTGACAGCTTCCACTCCTGGATGCCTTTCCCGGTGAACTTCTCACACCCTTCGAAAAGGTTTTTTGCATCTGTGACCCGGGAGACATCCCAGCCTTCGAGCGACGCCGTAAAATTCGAGCACCTGCTAAAAGCGCTTGCAAGGCTCTTGACCTGCGACACATCCCAGTTCTCAAGCCCCTTCCCGCTGAATTTATTACAGCCAGAAAAAAGGCTACTCGCGCTTTGCACATGCGACACGTCCCAACCGGCGAGCGACTCGTCAAAATTTCCGCAACCGTGGAAGACGTACTCGAGGCTGGTCACCCCAGAGATATCCCAAGCTCCGAGCGGCTGCCAGAAAGTCAAACACCCAGAAAACATCCCCCGCATATCACGGACCCGTGAAACGCTCCACGATGCAAGCGGCCGCGAAAAGTCTACTTAGAGCCAGCTGCCAACTAGTCTGCGAACGACGCAGCGAGCCAGTCGCTTCGCTTCATTTCAGATACTCGCGCTGGATGATGGAAGTCTATAATATTAATATAGCTCAGAGATCTGCCTACGATTTCCCTGGCGACTTCTACCCGCTAGCCTTGCCGAGCCCGTTGCTGGGTTGCCAGCGGTCTCTCGGCTGTCCCTGCTGTTCCTGGTATGGAGTGACTAGCACCCACTCGCAATTACTTACTTAAATTATAAAAAACTGAATGATTCCACGTCCCAAATAAAGCTACTCTACTTCGTGCTCACATCATCCGCCCCCTTAAATATTTTTCAAACTCAAATGGTGCGAGTGCATTTCTTAACGAGAACAACAAGGACGAGCACCGATTTATCATCATGGAGTAGAGCCATATCTGCGACACCCACAGAACATTTCGCGCATGCTTGTGACCTGAGACACGTCCCAATCTGCGAGGTCGCTGTCAAATTTTCTGTTGCCCGAAAAAGCGCAGCTCATGTCCGTCACACCGGAGACCAGCCAGCCGCTAATATCCGGGGCCACAGACACGAGCTCGCCAAGATCTTCAAAGCGGAAATCCTCGAACCGAGCGCGTGTCATATCTCCAGACTCAGGCTTGTACATTTCAGCGCCCCCGCTGGCGTCGGGCACCCAGAGTCGCTGCGAGAAAAGATAAGAAAGGTCCCTCACTTCCGAAACATCCCACGTGCGAAGCGGCCCGAAAACTTCATCGATCCGCTGAACTTCTGCGGCCGCCGGTTCGTGTCTGACAATTATTCTCGCGCCGACACGGTAGTGCCGTTCCTCTTCGGTCGCAGTGTTCTGGTTCTGCCCATTGTCAAATACAGGGCTCGTGGCCGCTGGGAGACGAACACTCCAGGGCGCCTTCATATAGATGTCTGTGTATGCCATCATCCTCATCTTTTTCAGCAAAGCATCGTCAAGCTCTTTACGCGAAGAAAACGCACGAAAATGCCTGACGACAAAATCAACGCACAGTGTGACAACTGCCTTCTCTTTCTCATCTCGTGAAAATAGCGCTGCGATCTCTGTGCTGGTCCTCTCTCGAGCTGAGGGCCCGGCCCCATCTGCTGCTGGCCCTGCTGCTCCAAAAGTGCTAATCTCTGCAGCACCTCGCCCCTCTTCCTGCATGGCCGACGACATCATATGATCGCGCCCCGCAATCAGTGATCCACTCCGTGCCAGAGAAGACGAAACAGGCTGGGAAAATGGCTCAACGCTATCGCCCCGGCTACTCCGAAGTCGAAAATCGTACAGCTCTTCAGACTCCCAAGCCTGGCGTCGCCGATCATTCTCTAAACGCTGCTCCGGCGATACATACGTCCACGCCTCTCGATCTAAACTAGTACTCTCCTGGTGCACATGGACTTCGTCCCCCAGCTTCGTCGTGCCTTCATCTCCTCTGGCATCTTCGTCTTCCTCTGAGGAAATTTTGCTCGTCGACGCCACGGGCTCTGGCTGAAGAAGCTGGATATGTTCCGCATAGCAGTGCTTTTTTCCGTGCCGTCGTCTCAGCGTAGTTGCGATGCCATAGCGGATGTCAAAAATAGAGGCTGTAAGTGCT